GAAAAAAGATGGATCAGAAAAATAATAACATCCCCCAAGAAAGCTCCACCTCCCCCAGCTTAGTTGCCTTCCACTTCTAATTTATAAAGCAAAGGTACACAAGTGTAACCTACCTATGAAACTTACATTTTCAAGGTTAAGAGTGAAATGCAAAACACAGCTGCAAAGGCCAAACAAAACCCAGCCCATTTTGGCTTTTGTGCCTGAACCTGTGCTCTGGTGCTCCTACCACCTTCCTTTCTTGGTCTTTCCTCCCATCACCCCACTCCGATGCCTGAAACCAAGATTCCAACCTGATTTCTCACTGCTAACTATGGTTAAGTATAGAGTAGAGCCTGCCAGTTTTTGCAAAGTTTGCTGTGTTGCCTAGATTGGCCTCAAACTTTTAACTCTTCTGCCTCAGCTTTCAGAATAGCTACGACTACAGATATACCATCACGCCTGGCACCTTCTAGAATTTTTTTTAGATTTTAAATATATATATATTATATAGAATATATTTATATATATATTATATATTTATATGTAATATATATATTAACTTATGGTTTTATGAAACAGGATCTTTTTTTGTTTGTTGGTTTCTATTTTTTTGGTACCAGGGATCAAACTCAGACTTTGCACTTTCCAGGCAAGTGCTTACACCGCTGAGCTAAATCTCCACTCCCTCTTTTTTTGCTTGTTTGTTTGTTTGTTTGTTTGAGACATGGTTTTATTATGTGGTTCAGGCTGGCCTTTAAACTCACTGAACAAATCACAGGGAAGGCTGAGGCAGGATTATGGTCACACACACAAGAAAATCTTTTAACATTTAAATTTTCATCCATTTGGAATGTATTTTCATGCTCAAAATGAATTTCATTACTTTTTCCTCAATTACTAGAAGGCTGCTTCATTACCAATCCATCCTTTCATGGCCGATGTAAAAATACTGCTTTGGCTATATAGTAACTGCCTATACATATCTGGTTTGCTTTGTTTGTGGTACTGGGGATTGAACCCATGCTAGGCAAGCACTCTACCACTGAGCCACATCCCCAGCCCACATATCTGGGTTTGATTCTAAATTCTATTACATTCTCTTTGCCTGTGAGTTTCTACTCAATTCCATACGAATTTCACTGCTGTTATGATTGAGATTCAAAATATACTCTAAAAGCCTGGTTGTGTTAAAGGCTTGATTGCTGCTGGGATTTGGGAAGTGATTAGATCTTGAAGGCTCTAATTTCATCAGTTAATCAGTTTCCTGAGATAATCCACAGACAAAGAGACTGTATCGTGGGGACTACCTATATCTGGTCCCCTGGCTCTTTCTCTCTAGCTCACCCCCTTTCTCTCTGCTTCTTGGCAGCCATGAGGAGGCCAGCTCTGCTCCATCAGCCCCCTCTTTTTTTTAATATTCTGTCACATCTCATGCCCACAGCAGTAGAGCCAGATGATCCTGGACTGAAACCTCTGCAATGTGAGCCAAAATAAAAACCTTTCTTTGTTTAAGCTAATTTTCTCAGGTAGTCTGTCACAGCCATGAAAAGCTCACACAGCTATTATATTGTTATATAGTATCTCATCCTGCTTAAGAGCTAATTCTCATTATTACCTTGTAGAATTTTTCAGGCTAGTCTCATTTATTTTTTCCAATGGAATTTAAAAATCATTTTGTACAGTTTTTAAAAAAATGCCCCACAAGTCTAACACTGTGACAACACTTTTTACTTTTCATTTGCATGCTTATTTTCATATTTGTATATAAAATCTTATATTGTTTTCTCCAGTTTCCTGATTTAAAAAAAAAGCATTCAATTATCAGTTTACTGGATGCAAGAACTATTGCATGATTATCCCAGAACAAATAATCATCACAGACAGTACTGAAATTTCAGCTTTTGCCACTAATGATTTTTTTGTCAAAAATCAGATTCCTTGAAAATGGGAATAATCCTTTCAGCATTTGATAGCTCTTAAAGAGATGGTGCAGGGCTGGGAATATGGCTCAGTGGCAAAGCGCCTGCCTGGCAAGCACGAGGTCCTCAGTTTGATTCAGGGTACAAAAAAAAAAGTGCAATGTAAGCTACTTCCAGTTAAGTGTGGTGTTCTATCCTATTACAACTTGGAGAGTCCTATCCTATTACAACTACTCAGAAATGTTCCTTAAGGACAAGGAGCTTAAAAACAGTAATAATGATAATATTATAAAACAATACTGTTTTACATAAAACAATATTGTTTTTACATAAAACAATATTGTTTTATGTAAAACAAACATTCTCTCGCTTTCACTTCAGCAAGCTAACCAGCCAACTCCTACTTTCCCAGATAAGTGACAAAAAAGACGAAGAGCGGCTGCAATGACAGACAAGGGTCTACGACCCTAGGACTCTGTCCATTGCGCTTTAATGTTCAGTAAGACGACTGCGAATCTACTATGAGGCTTTAGAGATTTGAGCCCAGCTGAGGTCTGGGATCTCTGTTTATTTACACGCCGTCAGCAGATCTTACCCCAGCGAACCTCGGATTTTTCAAGAAAACTGACCCAGAGATCTCCAAAGCAGTTTAGGTAGGCCGTCATTAGACCCCAGGGCACCCTGCCACCCATTCTGATCCATTACATCGAAGCCTTGCTCACCTGAGGCCCAGTGACCACCATATTCACCTGACGTCTCCCAGCATCCTGCGGCCAGGTATCCAAGGCCGCTTAGCAACAACGGTGGAACTTGGGCCCTCTGAGAAGGCGTGGCCCCAGACGGGGAGTTACCTCCGCAGCAACGTGATGACGTCAAAACAGCAGCCGCCAATTGCCGCGGGTGTCAGGGACTGGAGGGTAGGGGCGGGACTACTGTTGGGCTATACCATTGCTATGGGTGGGGTAAATACAAACACGATGAGGACTGTTTTCGGCAAAAAGAAGCTAACCTTATTCTATTACTTAGCAGCAGTCATCATTAGAAACTAACAAGAATGGCAGGTGCCAACCAAGAACCCAAAGTTTGCCCCACCATGGGGGCAGAAAATAGTGAAGAATTCCCATGATGGGCGCGGAGTGGAACGCCCCAGCTTGGATCACGCCCCCCCCCAAGGCGCAGGCGCAGAAGGTCGGGGCGAGGATGGAGGGAGGGGTATAAATATTATATTCGGTCGTGTTTGAAGATTCTAGGGATATTTGTCTGGCGGAGTATTTCCTGGCACTGAAAGCCCCGGAAAGACTTCCCGGGTGGACACGTGTATGGTGAGAGTGGCAAGATGTTCTTTTTCTATTACCCCCACATCTTTTAAGGGCTGGAATGCCAGGTTGAATGTCAGAAATATGAGGGTAAAACTTACGGCCCTCTATTCGTCTGCAGGTGGGGAGTTAGATCTTGGCCAACTCCTGCCAAAATGTAAAAATATAATCTGTCTCGAGAGGCTGTGAAGGCCCCAAGGTGGTCAGAAAGGCACCACCATTGGCTAGAGGTCTGAAAAAAGAGTGATAATGTTTGGGACAAGAGCTGAGGGCTGGCGTCCCGGGCAGAAGGAACTGCTTGTGCAAAGAGAAACATCACGACGTACTGGTTATCCTGCTGTCACCGTGAAAATGGGAAGCCCCACTCCTGTAGCCACAGACCATCCTTCTCCCTAGGGGAGCGCATTTGCCTGCCCAGAGAGGGCTGTGCATTTCTGCAAAACACTGCAGCAGCTTCCAGAGTCAAAGAATTGAACGCAGAGACAGCTTAACAGTTTTAATTTAGATTTATGTTTGTCTTCACCATGTACAGAGTAACTTGTCTTTTCACAACCACTGTCGCTGCAAATTGAAAAGGTGAAGAGGATGTTTGAAAAACTTTTCCCCCATTACTGAGAATCAAACCCAAGGCCTTGGCTAGGCAGATACACAGCTACATCCTCAGTTCAGAAAAATTCCCTTGTGAGGACGCTGCATTTTTGTGCAAAATTGAGTGACGGCTGCATTTAGGAATAAAAACAGAAATGCTGTAGAGTTGGGATAAGGCTTGAGCTGCTTCTGCCTGTTGTTAGTCAGTGTTTGCTAGAAGACCAAAAGAGCACCAGCTGGAAGCTCTTCTCCCACTGAGGCTATAGAAAAATGGGTTTTAGAGTCAGATGCCAGTAAGTTCAATTCCTGGCTGTGACTGGTACTGGCTGGCTGATCTTGGGCAAGTTGCTTCATCTTCCCGAGTAAATGTTTCCTATTTGTAAAGTGAGGTTAATAATTCCTAAATGCTGGTGTGTAATAAGGATTGTAGATAATGCATATAAGTTTTATATTGTGTTCAATAAACATAGGTGTAGCATGATCAATTTACTACCATAGTTTTTCTTCATTTTTATTTGTTTTGTTTGAAGGGTCACACTTTGTAGTGCAGGCTGGCATTGAACTCACTATGTAGCCCAGGCTGGTGGAAAACTTACAGTGATCCACCTGTCTCAGCCGTCTTAAGTGCTGGATAATAGGCATACACTACCATGCCTAGCTTCATTTTTCTTTTCTTTTTTTAAAATTTTTATTCGCTATCCTGCTTAAAACAATCCGATTTTACAATCTTAAAACAGAATCATGTTTTACAATCCACAGCTGATTGCATGCTTTTGAGAGTTTCATCATTTTTCTGACATTTATACAGTTGTTTTTTGTTTTGGGGAACTATAAGAATTTTGTCCTCAGGTTCTGTATTTGGCAATTAATAAGTGCTATTAAGAAGGAAATCAGAGTTTCTTTCAATGTTCTCAGCACATGTCAAAGTCTAATATTAGTTATTCCTGACCGACTTTTGATCTCCAATAAGTCAGTGCCACCACTGTTTTTCTCACCTTGGTCTCCCAGCTTCATTCCTCTGAGTTCTGGGGCACAATAGAGAGGGGGCCAAAAACTGAAGTAAAGGAGTGGGACTGAGTTAAGAGGAAAAGTGAATAAAATTGCCAGCATACACCATTCCTAAGAAAGTTCCTCTGCTTGTCTCCAAAGGAAAAAGCTGATAAGGCTATGCTGAAGAATGTACCGTGGGTCTGCGGAAAAAACAAAAAACTACTTTTATTTTATTTTATTTTTTTGTACCAGGGATCGAACTCACAACCTCACACTTGCCAGGCAGGTGCTTATGCTGCTGAGCTAAATCCCCAGCCCCGAAAAAACTACTTTTAAATAAAGCAGCATAATCCATCCCACAGGAGCAGAGTGTCCTTAATTCATGAAGTGTTACAAGCTCACATTTTGTCCAGTCAGAATTGCACTAGAAATGATTAAGCTTGAACACGTGGAGTTTAATGGATGGTCAGGAAGCTGTGGTCACCACATAGGCATGCCACACGAGATGGAGCACAGCATTAACTTGGCAGCCAACTCCTGCTAGGAACAAGGGTCCAGTTGAGGGTTATTCTTCAGAACTACTCTATCTCCACTGGGTTGCCTTGATGCTATTGCTTTACCAGGAACTCAATTTTGTGAGTACCATTACCACAACTACCATCTGAAAGAAAGCTCCTGATGCTTACTTTGGGTTCAGGTGTGGTACTTGAGACTCTCTGAATATTAGAAGAGGTTCAGATGATAGGCAGCCAAACCCAGTAACAAATGTCCAGTACTACCCACAACAAAGAAAGACACCATCAACATAGTACAGTAAAAGATGTTGATAACACCATACAGGCTTGTTACATATCTGTCATTTTATACATTGAGATAAAAATGCAAACATCAAGAAGCTCTCTGGTAAAGAATGTTAGCACCCTACAAGACTGTTACCGAGACAACACCATATTCCCACTGTCTCCTGCAGCTGGAACATGACTTTCACAGATGTCAGTTGAAGACTAGCCAGCATCCTCCCCTCTGGACGAGCACCAGCACCCCTTTGCTGTTAGGGGTGGTCATGTGCCTAGGCTCCATTACAGCAGGGGTTGGTTAACGAGATGTCAGGAGAAGTCACTGGGTAAGGCATCCAGGCAAGCTCTTCATTGGGCTCTTTGGCCACTCCCTCAACCCCATTCCTCTTTTATTCCTGCCCAGAAGACAAAAGTGGTGGCTAGACCACCAGCAGCCATCTTTTGATCATGTAACAACCATAATACTGGAAGCCATCTGTCACAAAGAACAGAAAAGAAACAGAAAGCTTCTATGTCTTGTGCCCTGTCTTACCATGCCAGTCCCAACTAACACTGCTTCTTTTAGGGAATGGAGAAAAATATACCTGTTTCTTGCTTAAGCCATCAGACTTACAACTTTGACTCTCATTACCAGCTTGCCTCTGTGGCTTCACAGATGCTTTACTCTTAACAGTTCAAGATGTCATTGTCCTCCTGTGCATAGGAAAATCCCAGGAATGCACTTGAGGCACCAGAGCTGCTGGCCACAGTATCAGGGGTGCAGCCAATGGACCTGGACACAGCTTCCTGGGTGAACTCTGGGTCAAAGTGTTTCAGGTCAGCAGGTCCTGCCTGTCAATATAAGCCAATGATGAGAAAGGAGCACTAGGATCAGCGCGAAGCTATAGACATAGATGTTGGGCTGTCCTGAGTGCCTCCTGGTCATCCACACTTAACTATCACTTTCCCATGCATTTACATCAATCAATTTCTGTCATAATTCCATGTGGTTGATTCCTCTAACATCCTGGCTCCCTGCCTGCTCCACACCAACCCTTGGTCAGCATATTCTTCCTGACTGCTTAGCAGGCATTTGTTTATGGCACTGGGAAAACAGGAGAACAAAACAAAACAAAAATGAACTTCTGCTTCGAAGGAGCTCACACTTATGTAAGTACTAGTAAGCCTGATAACTAGCACATATTCAAGCAGATAATTTAGGGTATTTATGGATCCTAGATCAGTGGTGGTGAACCTATGGCATGCATGCTACAGTGGACTGTTACTGAAAGTTCTAAAAGGTACACTATCACTGTCTAAAGAAAAGACAATAGGTATGACTATTCTGATTTGTCAACTTCGTTAGATTAAGAAACAGCTAGGGATGAGGATATAGCAGGTGCCTGCCTGGCAAATGCAAGGTCCTGAAGTCGATTCCTGACACACACAAAACCTAGATTAGTAAGCACTGTCCCGAGGGTGTCTAGGTAGGTCATAGAGGAATGACTTTGGGTACTTCATATGGTCCCTATCCTATTTGTCTCAAGCATTATTCCTTTGTTTTGCTTCCCAGCTGCTACGAACTAAAGCATTTCTGCTCTCCTTGTCATAAGGTTTCTGCTTTGGAGCCTGCAAACCATGTACTGAATCTATTGAAACCATGAGCTACCATATATTAAACCTTTCCTCCTTTATGTGGTGGTGTTGAGTATTGTGTCTCAGCAACAGGATGGCTAATACAATAGGATAATGTGATAGACTGGTGTTGCATTTGCTACTTTGGAGAAAGAACTGTGTGGGAGATTGAAAAAGGGATCACAGATTCCTGATTTCCATCCAGAGGTGGAATGTGTCTCCATCTTTTTAATGTGGGTTAGCTGTGTGACTTAGACCAAAGGGAAATTGACAAATGAGATTCAAGCTAGGCAAGCACTGTATCACTATGGCACAGCCCCAGCCCAAGTAGGGGCTTGAAAAATGCACACTGGAAATTGTCTCTCATGTTGTGCTTGGAACCCTGGGCCCATGTTGTGAACAAGCCCAGACCAGCCTGCTGGAGGGTGAGAGGCCTCAGGAAGGAGAACCCTGGTGATCTGGCTGTCTGCCAACTCCCAGACATGTGAGTGAAGCAGTTCTAGATCATCAGCTGCTGGCTGCTCCACTACTGACCGCAGACCTGAGACAGCTCTCGAGAAAACAGCTGGCCTCTGCACAGGAAAGGAAAGCATTAGGGGAAAGAGACAACCTACAGATTGCGGACATTTTTTTGCCAGTTCCTCCTCAGACAGAGGACTAATATGTAGAATAGATAAGGAACTAAAAAAAAAATTAGGCTCCCCCAATTTAAAGACCCAATCTAAAAATGGGCATCTGAAATGAATAGATGCTTCTCAGATGAAGATGTACAAATGGCCAGATGTTGGGCTGTCCTGAGTGCCTGAACATGAAATATGAAATAATAAACATGAAAAATGTTCAATATTGCCATATGAGAAATGCAAATTAAAACAACACTGAGATTCCATCTCACTCAAGGAAAAATGGCTATCACCCAGAAATCAATCAATATCAAATCTGGCAAGGCTGTGGGGGAGAAAGGAACCCTTCCTCACTTTGGTGGAACAGTGAACAGATACAACCACTATGGAAATCAGTATGGAGATTCCTCAAAAAACTGTTAAGTAGAAATCACACTTCCCCTTCTAAGTATCTTCCCAAAAGAGTTAAAGACATCATACCAAAGTGATGTATGCATACCCAATATTATAGCAGCACAACTCATAGTAGCTAAATCTTGAAAATGGCCTATATATTCATTGACAGATGAGTGAATTAAAAATGTGTTCATATACAATGCAGTACTACTCTGCCATAAAAGGATGAACTTAAGTCATTCATAGGAAAATGGATATACCTTGAGGGCATAATGTTAAGTGACATAACTCAGATCATATAAAATAAAAGATAGTTAATGGGAAAAAGAGAAAGAAAAGTATAGTAATCCAGTGCAGACAATTTATCTAAAAGTGTGCTTTTACTTACTATAATTGCCTTGCCTGTTTTATATGTTGTTCGAACTATGTCTTATTTTTAATCTGTATATATGATAATTAACTATAAGGTCTTCTAAGATAAATGAATCTGATGCTGGAAAAATAAAAGGAGTGGCTTAGGGAGAAGGGAATTGAAATGTGGTTTTTTTAATTTGCTTGTTTGTTTGTTTTCATACCTGGAATCAAACTCAGGACTTCACACTTGCCAGGCAGGTGCTGTGCACTGAGCTGTGTTTGTGGCCCTGAAATGTGTTATGTTCATGTACCAATCTCCTACAGTGAGTATAATCATTATGTACTTCAAACATGTACTAATCAAAGTTTTTTTTAAAAATGGCTGCCCTGACAGACTAAAAAAACCACCCAGCTGACACACAGACTCTGAATGAGATAAAGGACTATTTTGGGAGGCTACCTGGTATTGGGCTGACTTGTTATGAAGCAAGACTAATCAATACAGACTTTTTGCAGAGCAGATTCTGTCTAGGGAGATGACACTGTCCTCTGGGTTTCAGGACGGAAGCAGCTGAGCGAGTGGAAGTGTCTGCAGGATGGTTTTAGCATGTAGCTCTTGGGCTGTGGAACCAAACAGGCCCTGACGTCCAGTTTCTAAAAAAGCTTATCGGCCCGGGGTGTAATCTGGGTTGCAAAGTTCCAGGACCAGAATGTAAATCCTGGTCATAGCCCTGGGCATTGTTAGATGTGTTGCCTTAGACAAGCAGCTATTTTCTCTTTTTGTTTGTTTGGTTGGCTTTTTTTAACCAAAAAAAAAAAAATAGAATTTGACACTAAAGACACTTACTCAAGGTCCAGCAAAGTGGTAGGCAGCAGAACCAGAATTCCATGCCCAGTATGTCTCCCTCTAAAGTCAGTGTACTGCTCTGTTTTAGTGCTGCCTTCCTAGGAGTGTGTGCAATGCTGGGGATGGAACTGAGGACCACACACCTGCTAGGCACAAGCTGTACCACTGAGCCACACCCTAAGCCCCGTTCCTAGAATTCTGTATATTTTTTTCCCTCTAGGCTGTATGTTTGACATTGTTCTTACTGCCTTTAAAATTCCCAAGAAAAAAAGGGTCGGGACATAGCTTAGTGATAATGATTATGTAGCACTTGCAAGTCCCTGGGATTGATCCCCAGAGCCACAAAGTAAAATAAAATAAAATTCCAGAAGAAGAAACTGTTTAGATGTCTGGACTGAAGGCATCCTGTCTGACAACTGTCATCAGGACTCTGGTGCTCCACAAAGCTCAGTGTCACATTCCTGGAATCCCAGGTACTTGGGAGTCTAGGGGAGGAGGATCACAAGTTTGAGGTCAACCTGGGTAGCTTAGCAAGACCCTGTCTCAAAGCTAAAACTAAAAGCCTGAGGATGTAATTCAGCACTCCCTGAGTTCAACCTCCAGCATGTTCTGCAGAAATGAAAAGGATGTGTTTGGGAAGCACTTCTGGTGCTCAGATACACACAGAGAAGTAAAAATACTTTGCAAGATCCAGGGAAATAGATCAGTGTGAAGGCCCTTGGTTCAGTTCCTAGGGGATTCCAGAGGCTGCGGGGAGAGAACGGAAGAGAAGAAAAGGTACAAGCAAGAAAGGACTCTAATCTAGACGTGACTTAAGTTATGTGGGAGGATATACATAGGTTGTATGTAAATATGATGCCATTTTATATAAGAGATTTGAGCATCCACTGATACCAAGGAACAATTGTACATCCAGGCATGCATACATTTATATATATGCATACACATACACAAAAAGTGTGATTTAACTATGTAAAAACTATAACCTGTATAGAAAGAAAGACTAGAAGGAAGTCACCAGGTGGTTTCCCTTAGGTAATGAGATACCAAACATTTCCTGATTGTTGTTCTCTGTTTTATACACTGTACAAGGCACGTATGTCATTTTATTATCAGGAAAAGTCTGAAAATATTTCTATAGGAGGTGCCTCTGGCTGGGAGTGTTAAGGGACACAGAGCTGTGTAAAATCCATGAAGGGCTCTGCCGCCAGGGTTATGGTGCCAGCGATGAGGGAGGGAGTGACAGGATGGCTCCTTCCTCGGGGCTGAGTCAGCCTCTGACTCGGTGGCTATGGGCAAATCATGGAGACTCTTAGTCCGGCTTCCCCCACTGTATGAAGAGAGTTGGCCCAGATTTCCTCCAACTCCCAACAGCCCTGGGAATCCAGAATAGAATTCTAGGGCCCCTTACCACATTTGGGTTGAAGGGTGGAGTCAGTCTCTTGTGGTATAAGTCATCCCAGTTTATGGGGCTGAAGAAGACATGGTTCTTTATCTCGAGCTGTAGGAAGAAGGTGCCAATCAGAAATCACTGTCCTCATCTGTGCTCTCCCTGTCCCATGCCTCCAGAGATATGACACTACCAGTCAACTGGCTGTCACCTAGATAGTCCCTTGTAGTTTTTGTTGGTTTCCTGGGACAAGACAGCATTCTGCAGCCAGGCCTGTCACTTGTGCACCATCCAGAAGCCAAACCCTTGCCCCAGCACTGGTTTATTCCACAACTAGACTGAGCTCCCTATAAGGTCTGGGGGCTTGTCAATGAGCAACACTTTGGAGAGAATTTCAAGAGGGGTGAAGGAAGAGTTCTGGGAGGAGCTTCACTCCACTCTCCACCAGTGCATCCTGAGTCTTCCAGAATGCAATCCATGAGCCAGGCATGGTGGTACATGCCTATAATCCTAGTTCTTGAGAGGCTAAGGCAGGAGGGTTGCTGCATATTTGAGGTCAGTCTGAGCAAAATAATGAGTTCAAAGCCACCTGGAATTACACAGCAAGACCTTGTCTCAAAAAACAAACAAATAAAACAAAACAAAAAAAAACCGGGGCTGGGGATTTAGCTCAGCGGCATAAGTGCCTGCCTTGCAAGTGTGTGGTCATGAGTTCGATCCCAGGTACCGATAAAAAAGAAAAAGACAAACAAAACAAAACAAAACAAAACCACACACACACTAGAGAACTCTAGAGAAATTGACCAAATCACTTCATTAAGGAAGGCCTGAAAAATAACACCCTGAGAAAAGTTGCAGATTCTCAGAGACCTAGGAATTAGGATTCAGCCCTGGGCATGATCTACCACTTCTCTCAATCAAAATCAGCATTAATACTGACGTCTTCCCGACTTCCTGTGCTAGTAATACTGCCGTGGTGAGTTAAAAAGCCAAGTCCAAAGTATCTCCAGAATACTAAAGAAACTGGTAACTCAGGAGCTGGATGGGCAAAGTAAATTTTTCTGGATATTCTCTTGCACCCTTTCAATTTTTGATACCAAGGATCGAACTCACGACTGTGCACTTGCAAGGCAGGTGCTAATGCCACTGAGCTAAATCCCTGGCCCCACCCTTTCAATTTTGATCTCCACGAATGCATAACTTATCTTAAAAGTCATACCTATTCCCTTTGGAGGGAGGGGACCTATCTGCATGGAAATACCCTTTCTTTACGCAGGATAAAGATGGGCAGGTACATGATCTAACTGTTGTGCCTCTTTACAGTGTCTGCCTGGTGGGGCTTTTGGGACAAACACAAGACCGTCCCATATGCCAGGCATCGATCTAAGAGTTCTGGTGTGTATAGGGGGTAGTTTGGAACCACCTGCATATATCAAGGGACTTCTGTACTAAAGCCTCCTTTTTTTTTTTTTTTTTTTTTTTTGGTCTTTTTCGTTTTTATCGGTACCGGGGATCGAACTCACGACCGCCTGCTTGCAAGGCAGGTGCTTATGCCGCTGAGCTAAATCCCCAGCCCAAGCCTCCTTTTTTTAAAGCCAAATGATGTTATGTTTTCTTTTCTTTTACCTCTTTTTAATGTAGTACTAGGGATTGAACCTAGAGCCTCAGCACTGACCTACATCCCCAGTCATCATCCTTTTTGAGACAGGGTCTTGTTAAGTTGCTAAATTGCCAAGGCTGGGTTTAAACTGACATCTTCTTGCTTCAGCTTCCCAGAGTGCTGGGACTACAGCCATGTAACCCCTGGATGAGTTTATGTTGAATGTAAGCTTTTGTTGTTTTTATTTATTTTTTATTATTCAGGGTGTCACTATGTAGTTCAGGCTGGCCTCAAACTCAAGGCAATCCTCCTGCCTCAGCCTCCCAAGCACTGGGATTACAGGCATGTACCACCACACCTGGCTATAAAATGATTTTAAAAGTGCTACTTTATTTTTTTTATATTTTTTGGTATTGGGAATTGAACTCATGACCTTGTGCTTGCCAGGCAGGCACTTATGCCTCTGAAATAAATCCCTGGCCCTCTATTTTTTAAAGTGCTACTTTAATAAAAAAGAATTGAGACCTTCTTAAAAGAGAATAACAACTTTATATTTCAAGTGCCTAGCCTGAGCTCTGGCAAAGAGAATTATCCAGATATTTGTGTAAAGCCAGTTCACTGTGTTCTCTGCGTAAAAGCCAGAGGAAACTTAGGTCAGAACACACAAAACTTACTACTGTCCTCCTTTTTCCCCCCAAGGACTTTTGCACATGCCTGTGTCTGGGGTGCCCTTACCCAGGCCTGTGCATGGCTCTTGCTTATCTTTCAAGTCCCAGCTTCACTGTCACTTCCTCCCCTTTTCATTATTGTTTCTATGTGCTCAATGTTAATTTCTTTCCTGACATTTGTCACTTTGTGATGATTGTATATAATTTTTGTCTTTTTGTCAGCCTCTTCCCATACCTAAGCCTAATACGGGCAAAAACCCCGTCTATTAAGTCTCTAGTACCCAACTCACCCTATGTGCCTGCAACATAGTAGGTGTTCAGTAAAGATGGATTGACTAAAAGAACTGAAGAAAAGAAAGTAGTTGGCTAGCAGCACAGTGAATTTCCAGGTGAGTCAGTTAGTGACGCCTGGTTTTAGTGGGCAGTAGGAGGCATGTTGGTTTGTTCCTGTGCTACCTCTGCAGGAACCCGGGAGCCCCAGAGTGGCCCGTGCTATACTGGCAGGTCACCTACAAAGTCTGCCTTGGAGCCGAGTCTCTGCCTCTGGTCCTTGTGGAGAAGGCCTTGTAGGAGGTCACAGGCAGCCACTGTCTGGCCCCCAGGGATCTGTAGCGGCTGGTGCAGAATGTTTTCGTACATCTGGGCAACATCTCGGCTGTAGAAGGGTGGCTGGTGAGAGAGGGAGAGAAGCTGTAAGGTCACCCATGGGGCACAGAAACAGGATCCAGGGAGACTCGGACCAAGTGAGTAGGGTGGAGGAGTCAGTCAGACCTATGTCTTGTGCACCGGCACACGGGGAGAGTCAGCAGCTCCAGGCTTCTAGCACAAGGGAGACGGTTGCCAAAAAGTCCCGAAAGCTCTGCCTAGACGGGAGGCTCCCCTTTCCCAGCTCTCCTATCCAGCTTATGCCCAAGTTCATACTTGACTTTCACGATTTCAGTCCAGTTCATAACCATCTTAGTGGGGCTGCGGTTTCCCAGATGAGGCTCCGGGGAATTAAACCACACAGCAAGTAGGGAAGAGAGCCAGGCCGCAAGCTGTACCCAGGGTCCAACTCTCGTCCTGCCGCTCTTCTGGCTCCTCTACCTGCTGGCCTCCTGAGTGTCTAGTCCTTGCCCCCCACCATGCCATGCTGGGGAATCCCCAGAGAGGAGCCCGCCCGGGCTCCACACAGGTCTCCACCTAGGCAGGTCATTCAGGAAGGGCATCTCACCTATCCGCACTGTGACCTTTCCTGGCCTCAGTGTCTCACTCAGCAAAACAAAGCTATTCTATATCCTTCCTTCAGTGCTAGCCTCCAAAGGCTGCTTAGGTCTCTAAGGTAAAATGGTAGGTTATAAAGTTTAAAGTGCTAAACTAACTGTGAAAAAGTAGATAGGATACTTATAGTCACATTGGTATCATCTTTCTGCACTGAGGACAAGATGGCTCATTTCTTTCCCTGCACAGAGCTTAAAGAGACCCATCCACAGCTGTCTCCAGAACCAGATGTCCCGTGTATCCAGCAGCATCCTACTCACCAGGCCGTGCAGCATCTCGTAGACAACTGCTCCTAGACACCACCAGTCCACTGCCCGGTCATAAGGCTCTTTACGAAGCACTTCGGGAGCCAAATACTGTTGGGGAAACATACTTGTTTGAAACACATTTATTTGAAAATACCCAGTTTCTATATCTGTACACAAAGCACTTAAAGGTCAGCAGGGATTGATTCTATTAGGACAGTCATGAAGTTGGACACATGCTCATTCAACTTCTATTCCCCAAAGACCTATTTTTTGCAGGGTCCTTTGATGTGTTCTAGTGACACAGAGATCAGTCAGGACTTCCCCGTACAGCTGAACATGCTACGTATCACGCAGAAGTTTGTTTGTTTGTTTTGAAGACAGGGTCTTGCTATGTGTGCAGGATGGCCTTGAACTCTATCGTCCAGACTGGCCTCAAACTCATGGTTTCCTGAGGCCTGTCACTAGGGTTTCAAGTACGAGCACGGGCCACATTCCTTAGACCTTGTCTTTTCGGCTCCTCACTGCATTGTGAGAGTACTCTCTGGACTTTCCCGTTGCAGCCTCCAGAGTGCTGGAATTATAGACATGTGCCACCACCCTGGCAACATAGATGTTTCACCAGCCAAAGAGGTAAAGAAGCTGCATTCCTGGTTCTGACCCATTCACCAAGCTGTAACTAGCTCAGAAGTACATTTGGCAACTTTATTTTTGCTTAAAGATGTGCTTTTCCTAACTAGACTGTGTACAGTGGGTACCTTCTTCGAACTTGCACTGCTGGCAGTTTCCTGGGAAAGGATGGCTCACTGTTAAGCTTTGGAGGCCCGTTTTCATCCAGTGAACATTCCCAGACACAAACACAGGCAGTAGCTCCTGCTCAGGGAAGTCACCTGTCCATCAGCTATCACAGCACTAGATGGAGGAGAAACATCTGAGATTCCAAGCCCAGCCTTCCAGGAATATGGAGAAAGCACAGTAGCTCCAATGTTGCCCTTGGTCAGGTGAAAAGCAGCTGCCTCCCTCTGTAGCCCCTGCCCTGGTCCCTGTCCAAGCCACTGAGATCCCTTTTGAGCTAAAAGTCCAAGATTAGTAGGAGTTCAAGAAAAGGCTATAACCTCAAGGCTGTAGTGAGCCCTCAGCAGCATACAACAGACACGTGGAATTACTGCTGAGATGCACTTAAAACACTTACCTCAGGGGTACCGCAGAATGTGGACGTGGTCTCCTCGGGCTCTACACCTTCCTTGCAAAGGCCAAAATCCGTCAGCACCACATGTCCCTGAGGACAAGAGACATGGGCAGGAGGGTGGCCTTAGGGATGTAGCCAGGTCTAAATTGAGTCCCACATGTTACACCCAGAGCAGTGGCTGTGGGGTCTAATGCTCAGATGGAGAGCAAAGGCCCTGTAGACTCCTAGACTAGATATCACAAGTACCAAAGGGCACAAGGCTGGAATGTGGCATTCCACTGTCTTCCTAAGCTCATCACCAACTAAGACAGCACTGGCACCTCCAGATGTTCCTTCTGGACAGCAATCTCCTTGACAGAATGCTGGGGCTCAAAAAGCAGCCACACCTGTAGCAGCAGGGCAGGAGAGCACAGTGGGTGGATACCGCAGGGCTCTGCCCAGACCCCTCTACTAGAGTTCCAATTCCCATTGTCCAGTGCTGGGACATTGTCTCTGCCTACAGGTAGTCCACGCCCAGTGACGGGTCCATACAGAGGCACAAAGGCCCGGGCTCTTTGCATCAAAGATCCTAAAGGAGAGATCCTAAAGAGTGATCTCAGCTTGGGCCTCCACCAGGTGAGATCAGCTGAGCTGATTCCTCTGCCCAGGCCCATCTTATTCAACCCTTTTAAGCTGCATCTCGACAGTGCTCCCCAATAAGCTGCTTGCACTCACTTCTCCATCTCAAAGTGTGTTTCCAGGGAACCTGGTCCAAGTAAAAAGGACTATAAAATCCACTAGCCTCTACCTGGCTCCATCTCTAACACCCCATGTTAAATATACACACATATATACATATACATGTACGCATAATCTCCCTACATCTAACATACATATCTGTATATTTATATATAACACATATACATATGTATATGGGCACACATACAGAAATGTATCCTCTACCCAGGTGGATGCATGTACAATGCTTACATACATGTACTTACAGATACACTGCAACCATGCCGAGACATAACACACACACACACACACACACACACACACACACACACACACAACCAACCTGGCAGTCCAAGAGAATGTTCTCTGGCTTCAGGTCCCTGCACAAAATAAGAGAAAATAGCCTGGTGGTGTCTCAGCCATTTAGTGAGAGTTGGGGACCCTGGGTCCAGGTGGAAGGACTAGTCATGGAGGATCTCAGAGGGAAGCTGGATACTTGGCTGTAGGAAAGAGGATGCCCCAACTCTACCCCAGCTTCTGACCCCCTCTCAGACAAAAATCCAGGCTCACCAGGATTTTGTTGGGGTTTAGGTGTCCACACAACCCCTGGCTTTTGGAGCGGGGACTGGCTTTGAACCACTGGTAGACCTCACCTGTAAATGATGTTGAGGGAGTGCAGGTAGCCAATGGCACTGGCCACCTCAGCGGCATAGAACCGGGCCCGGGGCTCCAGGAACCTGCGCTCCCGCTGCAGGTGGAAGAAGAGCTAGGGGAGGAGGCATGTGAGAGAGGTTATTTGGTTCCAGCTTCCAGAGTACAACGCAGGGGCTCATGTGTCTCTACTATTGTACCCATGGCTCAGCCACCGCAATGTGAGTTGCAGATCCAAGGGGGTGTGCTGGCCCTACCCCACAGATCAGTCAGCACATCCAAAGTGTCAGCGGGAGGAAAAACTAATTAGCATTGATTAAGCACCTTCAGTGCTCCAGGCTCCAAGCCAACTTCCCTTTCATATCTCTTATCTTGTTTGGTCCTCATGACAACCTTCAAAGCATCGAGCATAATGCTAGTTTTGTGTAAAGGGAACTGGGTGTTCAGAACAGTTAGCTGACTTGCCAAAGATCATGGGGCTTACAGTTGGCAGAGATGAGATTTGAAACTAGGTGACTCAAAGGTGTGCTTTTCCTCCAATTCAAGAGATACAGTGATTACTGCGGTGTGGCCATTTGTCCTGATCATCAGTTTGACTGGATTAAGAGATGCTCAGTGGCTTAGTAAAGCAGACTTCCAGGCATATCCAGGTGAATTACAGAGGCACGACACTGCCAAATATTTCTGGTTCCTAGCTCTTTCTTCTGTGGTGCTTTCTGGAAGCCATAAAGGGAGTAGTTTTTCTTCTACCCTGCCTTTCTGCCAGGATGTTTCTGTCTTGAAGCCTGCCTACTATGGGCTGAACCCTCTGAAATTTTGAACCAAAATAAACTTCTTCTCCTTTAAATTGTGATGTTAGGTATTTTTTGTGCCAGCAATGAGAAAGCTGATCAGTACAGACTGTCACAGTATGCCCAGGTTACCTGTCACCATGGGCCAATCTCTTGATCTGTCATCATTCAAGGTCCTTCACTTAGGGACACAGGACAATGATTCTCCTCTTGGCATAAGACTGGAAGGTATTCAGTCATACAGGTTAAGTCTGGGCTTACTGAGGGGGAGTCCTATTACATGTTGTCATCTTGCCCAGTGAGACAGAATGAAGTCCAATAGGGAGTCCAGATTGTCCCAGCTATGCTTCTGGGTCACAAGGTAGCTCAGAGCTATGTTTACAATAATGACAGAATACACCCCACCCTGTGGCCTGTGGTGTAAAATTGGAGCATTGCAAATCTTTTTTTTTTTTTTTTTTTTGTCTTTTTCATTTTTATCGGTACCAGGGATCGAACTCACGACCGCCTGCTTGCAAGGCAGGTGCTTATGCCGCTGAGCTAAATCCCCAGCCCCGCAAATCTTGACCATAAAGCTCTTCTTACCATTAACCTTTCCCAGATTGATTGAAGTGAGTCTGTGGGCAACTTCACATGGGAAAGGCATGAAAAAGCAGTGTGGCTGGGTGTGAGACAAACCTACACTCAAATCCTCATGTGGACCAGGTGACCTTGAGCAAATGTTACCTCCCTGAGCCTCAATTGCTATATCTACAAAGTGCATCTGTTCTAAGAACTCAGATCATTCTAGACCTGGCACATCATGGGCATGTGGGATGGATACCTCCCAGCCAGCAGCCAGCCCAGGGGAGCCTCCCTGCAAGCCTACTCACCTCCCCTCCGTTGACATAGTCGAGCACAAAGTAGAGCTTCTCAGGGGTCTGGAAGGAGTAGCGCAGGCCCACAAGGAACGGGTGCTGCACGTTCTTCAGGAGCACGTTGCGCTCTGCCATGATGTGGCTCTTCTGTGAGTCACACAGACAGGGGACCATGTCACCGCCCACCACAGCCCCTTTCATCGCAGTACAATCCCACCTGCCCTTGATAGCAGGGGTTGCCCTGCCGAGGACTTTCTCATCCCCCAGCTCAAGCACCCATGATGGTTCCCTATGCCTCTTAAAGCCAAGTCCAGGCTCCTTGCTAGCATCCTTGGGGCCAGAGTGGTTAGACTCATCCCCAGCCACTTCTTGTCAGTATAATTTCAGCCCCTGGATCAGAGATTCCTGTTCCCAAGGGGAAAATCAAAGCAAATTTGATTCTATAAATGAGTCAAAAAATAAATGAGGGGAAAAAAGGAGCCATATGCTATCCATATTCATGCCTTTGTTCATGCTAATTTTCCCGCTTGGGCATCCATCCCACCCTCAGTCCACTGGAATGCTACTGTCAAGGCCAACTGCAAGACCATTTCCTTCAGAAAGACCTCACCTCCTCCCCTCACGATGTTCTCATTAGCTTTAGTTACTCTCCCAAGTCCCCTGACTTGACCTTCAGTCCTAATGGGGTTGGCTGGGGTTGGATCTTAAAGAGACTCAAAAGGTGGAGGCATCTAGAAATCCAGCTGCCCTTGGCTTGAAGGGCATTTGGAGAGCACAAAGTGTGCAGGAGGGGAGCCTGGCACCTTGACAGGACAGAAAACACGTGCTTCATGCAGACTTGTGTTTCCCACAGGAAGGCAGAGGCCCTCTAAATGAGGCACTAGGTTTCCTCCCTCGAGATGGAACAGCCTCCTGCATACTCACTGGACCCCTTGCTGTGGCCACTTCTGCACCCAGCTCTGTGGGCCTCTTGGAAGTGGGACCATTTTTGGAAGCCACACAGGGTTGGAGAGCTTTTTGGAGGAGAGGAAGTGCCTGTGCCTGAGTCCTGTTACCTCTTTGTTCTTTAAGATGGACTTTTTCTGCAGCACCTTCACTGCGTAGAAGGTCCCATCAGACTTGCGCTTGGCCAACAGGACCTGAGCAGGAGCACAAAGGCAAGACCCTATGGATGACTACTTCCGTTATGCAGGAATGTGAGCTCTCTCTTTGCACATGCAAGTGGTATGGGGGGGGGGCAGAGGTGTCTGGAGAAGGGCAGACCTACTCTCTCCTGTCCACTCACCTTCCCATAGTTCCCTTTACCAATGACTTTGAGGAAGTCGAAGTCTGTGGGACAGGCACTGGGGGAAGAGAGAACATGGATCAGCATTTCCAGGCTCCTGAGTATAAATCTAGGCTTCTTTTTAACTTTGGGATTGGAAAATGCAAGCAGCCTTCAAGGGTCCACATCTCCACGACCCTAAAGAACCCATCCTCACAGCCAAGAGAGGCTTGTAAGACTTGCCTTTCCCCTCAGGGAGCTCATAGTTAACAGGCAAGGAAGGAAAAACATCCCACTGCATAGAAAGCAGGGATTGGCCTCTCCCAACGCTGAGAATGGCCTGTGACTGGGGAGTTGCTAACAGTGCAGGTCTTAAGGGACAGTGTTCCAGGCAAAAGGCTCAGCATGAGCAATGGCTAGGGAAGTAGTGGATGACGATGCTGGGGGAGGGTTCTGAGCCCAGATGAGAGAGGGACTTAATCACCATCCCAGAGACTTTGGATTGTATTCCCAAAGCAAGAGGAGCTAGCTCTGAGGGAAGCCAGGTAGGAAAGTCACTTGACCAACCAGAACTCACTTTGGGTTGGCTGAAGGCCCCAGGTTGATGTTCCCATTGTCCCTGGAAGGCTGAAGACATTTTTAAAAAAGAGGTGATTAATAGACCCTCTTTCTTTCCCCAGCCCAGGCCTGGTCTCTTCTCCAACATCTCATCTGTCTTCACAACCAGTTCCACAATTTTTCCACCCCATCTACTTCTTGAAGCCCTCATTCAAATCTCTCCTCAATTTACTCTCTAAATGACCCATCTCTGTGAGCCACTGTGATCTCTGTTGCCTTCCAGTCCTGGTCTACAACAGCCTATGGACTGGCCAGTGTCCCTTCAGATTTGCACAGACTTGGAAGAAAAGTGAGGCCCCCAGTGCTGGGTGGGAGACCAAGAACTACTCACCTGTGGGCTAGGGATCTCAGCCGGGCTGGATGCCATTCTGTAGTCACGCTTGGGTGGACTCTGGGGGTGTAGGGAGAGGAGGTAAGAGGAGAGAGACCTCTTCCAGTGATTCATACATAGTGGTTCTCTCCTGCCTTCCCAACCCTGAATCCCTGCCTCAGCTCGAGCAGCTCCTATCCCACAGGTTCACAACCCCTGCACAGAGAGGACAAGAAGTGGACTCAGCCTTTATCACTAAATATCTCGGGAGGGATGGAGCTGGAGTCAGGGACAGCCTGTCCCAGGCTCTCCCAGGACTGGGTTCAGCCAGGGCAGCAAGACCCCTGTGAGCCACAGCAGTCCCATAACCAGGGCAGGAAGGAACCTTGCAGGCCTAAAGTCTGAAACCATTCTTCTATGTGGGCACCCACAGGTAGGCACCAGAGGCCTAGAAAAGTGCTTTCAAGGGTTCTGGTTGTAAGGGGCAGGTTGTAATCCCGACTCCCCTATAGGCTGTCAGCAATCCCCAATTCCTGTGGGCAGTCCCAGGCTGAGCTCTGTGTTGACTGTAATTTTACCACAAGGACTTCTACTCAGTGTCCAAGAACAGCAGTTGACTGGACTGGAGCCAAAGAGAACTCTAAGATTGGCCAGTGTCTATCATCTGAGGTCAGGCAGCAGAGGGAGTGACCAGCTAGTCTACGCAGCCAGCAGTGCCGTGTTTCCCCTGTCCTTGTCCTGTGACGTGGAAGAAGTCAGGGTGTCTGGGTCCTGGTTAAAGATGCTGAGGACCCCACAACCCCTGCACTTCCCACTCGGAAGGTCAAGGATAAGAGCCAAGATCTCACCCAAGATCCCAGTTGCTCACAGAACTTGCTCGCAGAACTGGAAATTGTGCAACTCAAGACATACTGGCCCACTGTGGGCCCCAGGCAGCAGTCTGGCCTCTCTGAACAGATATCACCAATTGTTACAAGGCCACATTAACCTTAACCCTAACCCTTCTCCGCAGCTAGGAAAGTGACCACAGGCGAAAGGAGGGAATCCTGCAGCCAGACTCCACTGAGAGGCCCAGCCCTGCAAGATCCCAACAAAGCAAGCTGCAGAAGTGCAGAGGAGGGAGCGTGGCTGGGCTGGCTCCCACCGGCAGCCGGTACCTCCTGCCCCCAGGGCTGACCCTGGTGGCTCCTGCGCTAGGCACAGACTTTACCGATCCCACATACCTGTGCGGTCTGAGGAAAAGCCTCCGGGGAACCCAGCAGTGGAGCCAAGAACAGGCAGCAGACAAGGGCTTCTCTCTGTTCTCCCAACAACAGCTGAAGTGTCAGTGCCTGGTGCTGGCCCGGCCCAGCACAGAGCTCACAACTCCCAGTGGTGGTGACTGTGGCGAGGGGGCTGGCTGATGTCACACGGGATCCAGCAGAGCTTAAGATGGGACAGGAGACCTCTGTTTCCTTGGAGACACCATTGCCCCCTGGGAGAATGGAAGAGGGAGGTGGGTAACAGCTCAGGGGAGCCTGGACCCTAGGGCTTGTTGGAATGAGTGTGATCATGTGGTTCAGGGTGTGTGTTGTGTGTGTATGCAAGCATTTTGTACACAAATTTATTTCAGTGTGACCCCATCTTTTATGTATTTATGTCTGCGAGTGTCTATGCATCATTGTGCTTCGACATATGTATGGTGTGGATGTTTTTCAGTATGTCTGTGTATGGTGTGTGTCAGGCATATTTCATAGATGTTAGCATATTTATATCAGGGTGTCTGTCTGCAGATGAGTGTGTGTTAATATGCACATGTATGTAAAACCACGCATGTTTGTATAGGCACATCATTTGTGTGTCTGTGTCCACACTTGTGTACAGCAGTAAATTTCCCTGTGTGTGTATGCTCACGTGTGCACACATGGAGGGGGGCTGTCTCTAAGAACACACTTTCCAGGTGCTGCATGGACCCCTGGGGCAGAAGCATCTGTCATTGTGGCTTGAACACTGACCACTGAGAGCACTCCATTCCCAAGAGTTAACAGGGATTTCAGAGAAAGCTGGAGTTGGGGCTCAGGTCACCTGCCTTGGTCTTTGACTGCTGAGCACTTGGCCCTTTGCATCTTCCCTGCTGGCCACTTAAGCTCTGGGCCACTGTCCATGGGGCAGGCCTGGTTGGCCCACAGCTCTCTTGCTCTATGGGGGACAGCATAGGGCATCCTGCCTCACAAAAGCTTTGCTCTCTGATGAAAAATTGGGTTTGTGTGGGGAGCCTTCCTTTCTCTAGATACTTATGAGGGGTGAGAAGGTGTTAGGGAGACGGGAGGAAGGAAGGAAGGAAGGAAGGAAGGAAAGAAGGAAGGAAGGAGAGGAAGGAAGGGAGGAAGGGAGGAAGGAAGGGAGTTGATAGGTCCAACAGCCCTGGACCTTCTGGAACTTTCTATGTGGCCACAAACTACAGCTCTCTGCAGGCTCTGAAATGCAGGAAACTGGAAAGTGTTGGTCCAAGAAAAATGAATAAACAGTGCTGAAGCCCAGCATCTTGCCACAAAACAGAAATATTGAACCAGTACACAGATGTTCTAGATGTCATGTTGACAAAACACATACCCGGAGCAAGGACATTTCTTTTCAATAACAAGCACTACTTGTAAGAGTAAAGTAACCACAATAATAATAACCTCAATGTTCCCCCACAGGGCACTTCACAACACCCTCTGGCTCTGAGAGCTCCCCCTTTTCACCTTATACCATTGCTGCTCCATTGAGATGCTTCCCATGTATGTTTTATTCAGTTAAACTCCTCAAGGATTGACTGGAATCATCATTTCCATTCGTTATCTGTTCATTTCTTGTGCCCTTTCCAAGCAGGGCTTCATCCCAACACTCAATGCTTCTGTGGATGGTGGCCTAAGCCAGGGAGAAACTCCATCCACATCTCTGCATCGTTCTTTCTTTTTTTCCTCCGTGTGTGTGTGTGTGTGTGTGTGTGTGTGTCGGTCTGTCTGTCTGTCTGTCTGGGGATTGAACCCAGAACCTGAGCTACATTTCAAGCCCTTTTAAAATTTTACTATATATAATGTCTTTTTTTTTTTTTTTTTTTTGTCTTTTTGCTTTTTATCGGTACCGGGGATCGAACTCATAACTGCCTGCTTTGAAAGCAGGCGCTTATGCCGCTGAATTAAATCCCCAGCCCCATATAATGTCTTTTTGATACAGAGTCTCTTTATGCAGTTCAGGCGGGCCTTGAACTCACTTTGTAGCCCAGAGTGGTCTTGAACTCACAACGATCCTCCTGCCTCAGCCTTCTGAGTGCTGGGATTACAGGTATGAGCCACCACGCCGGGCTTTACTTTATATTTTTAAATATTTTTTGAGATAGTGTCTCATTATGTATTCCAGGGTGGTCTTCAACTCACTGTGTAGCTCAGGCTGGCCTCAAACTATGGTGACGCTCTTGCCTCAGCCTCCTCAGTGCTGGGATCATGGGCATGTGCCATCATGCCTGGGCTTATTTTTAAGTTTTGAGACAGGGTCTCACAAGTCACAAATTGGCCCAAGCTTTGAATTTGTAGTCCTCCTGCCTCAGCCTTCCAGAGTGCTGGGACTACAGGCGTGCACTACCACGCCCAGCTCTGTGAAGGCTCAGGCACACTCATTTTACCTACGTGGCTTTGGGAACTCCTAGTGCTCCTTAGGTAACACTGCCTACTCCATCTCTATGCTGGATTCTCTCCTCTTTCAACCCTTCAGCCTTGGCTCAATCCTTGGATCTCTGTACTTATTCCTTAGAGGATCAAAACCAGTTTTATAGCTTAACTAACTGTATTAGACAGTTCCAAGATTTATTTCTTTAGTTCTGATTTTCTCTATAGCTCTGGCCTTACATATCTGCTTCCTGACAATTTGCTATGTATCTAGAAGCATCTCAGCCTTGACATGTCCAAAACAAAAGCATTGACTCCTATACCTACCTCTGTGCCCCAGCCTACTCCTCCCTCAGTCATCTCACTATAACCTACTCAAAACTTCAAGCTAGAAGCTGGAATTCATTCTTGAAACCACAGTGTCACTCCATCATGAAATACTCTTCAAATCTATCCGGAAAAGAAAGCTAGCATGTTGAGAAGAAATTTGCGCTCCCATGTTTATTTCAGTATTGTTCATAATAGCAAAGATAGGGAATTTGTATCCATCAATGGATGAATGGGTAAAGCAACTGTGGTATACGTATACCATGGAATACTACTCAGCATCAAAGGAGGAGTCCAAGCCTTTGCTGAAACTTGGATGAACTTGGAGGACATGATGTTGAGTGAAACAGAAAAGATAGATACTGTGTGATCTCATTTGTGGAATCTAAAAAAGCTGACCTCACGGTAAAGTAGAACAGTGACTCCAGAAGCTGAGGAAGCAAGCCGTAGAGACTCTAAGGAGAATGATTAACAAGTAAAAACTTACAGACAGGAGAAAGACACTCTGGTCTTCTATTGTAAAGTGACTATCCTTAATGATCCTGCATTACATTTCCAAATAACTAGTAGAGAAGATTTTGAATATTTTTCCCACAAAGAACTGAAACATGTTTGAGGTGAGGAGTAAGCAAAATATCTTGATTTGAATACTATTCCGTGTGTACATTCGTGAAACATCACATTATAAATATGCACAATTTTCATGTGCCGATTAAAAACAATTCTTTAAAATCTCCAGAGCCCATGCTGTTCATCACAGTGCTACAGCCAGAGCTGAGTTCCCATCGCTACTTCAGTAGCTCCTCTGCACGCTGCCTTCCCTCACCCCTTCACTCCTTACCTAAATACTACACAATATTTCACCATCAAAAGCCTTTCAAAATGTACATCAGATCATGTGCTTTTATTGCTCAAACCCCATTGCACTTGTTATTTGTAGCAGCAGGTATGAACCTGGAGAACATTATGTTAAGTGACTGTCCCCAGGGCATCCGCCCTCTGGCCCCATCTTACCCAGCTCCCTGGCTTACTCTGGCTATTGCTGTTCCATACACAAAGCACTCTCTCACCTCTGACTCTGTTTTCCCTCTGCTTACAAAGCTCTTCCCTAGGCTTGTCTATGGCTGGTTTTCACTAACGCGACATGATCACACTTTGGCGTCACCTCTTGGAGAGGTCTATGCTGATACAGATGGCAGGTTTTCCTGGTTTGGTTGGGACTCAGGGCTCTCAGTGCTATAGCCCAGTACAATCCTGGGCAAGCAAAGGGCATCCTTCTACTGTGAATTTACTTTTTCTTTCTCTATTTCTTTTCTAGCAGAGTTGTTTTTTGAATCTTTCTTTTCTTAGTTATAATTACTAGCATATATTAATTGAACAAAATACTGGCCCCTTTGTGACATTTTCTTTTTTTGGTACCAGGGATCAAACTCACGAACTAGTGCTTGCCAGGCAGGTGCTTACGCTGTTGAGCTAAATTCCTGGCCCCTTTGTGACATTTTCATACATCTTTGAATGGGCCTGGAATATTTTAGATATTTAGAACATATCTGACCAGTGAGACCAAGTAATGAATTGATAAATCACATATAAAATGGAAATTATGCAATCAAAAGCTCTATATTAGCCTACACAAATCAAAAGAGAAACATATATCCAAAAAAATATCAGCCAAAAAAAATCAAGTTTCAAGATGCACTAGGGGTATCAATTTTGTAAAAGTAAAAAGCAGCAAACATGACTATGTACATTTGTATGTACAGACACACACACACACACACACACACACACACACACACACACACACGAGGCAAGAGGCCATGACACTAAATTCTTAGGTTAAGTTCTTTTTATTAAGCTACTGTGTAAACTTCTCATGTTGCTGCTGTCCAGTTAGTACCTCAGTGCGAAGTCCTGGTGGGAGCTTTGACATGCCCACTGCCCACCATCACCTCAGTTATAATCTCCACACCTGAGCAGCTCAGTGCCTAAGGCTTTCTTTTCTCTTGCACCATGGTGGCTTCCTGATCAGTATCCTTCTCCTGACGCTTTGACCTACAGTGGCCCCTGGTGAATTCCGAGGGGGTTGCCCAAGCCCCTGCTAAAATCCTCGAGCCCGTCCCTTCCCTATCTTACCGCAGCCTAGGTCTGCCTTCACATCTCCCCAAAGGGTGCCTGCTTCCATCGGCCTGGGCTGTGGTTGTCCCTCCTTACAACACCCCCTCAACTCACTAGATCTGCTTGCTCAGCCTTCCCTGGGCCCTCATCTGCCTTCCTCAGAAACCTTGCAGACACCCCTGCCTCATACCTGCTTCTGCTGCTACACCTGTCTCAGCTCCACCGTAATCCAAGTGTTTGGCTGACTGGCTCAAGGGCCAGCTTGATTTTATTTTCTTCCCACAACCTCACGAGTTAGGAAGTATCATTGTGTTAAGGAGGAGGAAACAGACATGGAGAGGAAGAGCAACTTAGCAGTCAGGACAGATCAGCTGTTTAAGTCAAGCTATTTGGGAAGCTGAGGCAGAAGGATAACAAGTTTGAGGCCAGCCTGAGCAGTTTAGTGAGACCTCCATCTCAAAAGTTAAGAAAGAAGGGGGTTAGGGATACAGCTCAGTATAGAATGTGTGCCTATTGGAAGGGGTCCTGAGCTCAATCCCTAGCAACACACACACACACACACACACACACACACACACACACACACACGAAGAAGGAGAAAGAAGAGAAGGAAGAAAAGGAGAAGGAGAAAGAGAAAAAGAAAAAGTGAAATAGAATAAATGATGTAAGTAGGATCTGAACTCCTGGATGAACCAGTCTGACTCTAAAAACTATGGCCTGGAATTCTGACAGATTAGAAATTTTAAAAAGGAAGGAATAAATGTGAGAAGTAAAGATGTCATTTAGTTACTTAAATGGAAGAAAAATTTAGGCAGGTAGTTGGTAGAGGAAAAAAAGGAAAGAGAAGAATGATGTTGGGAAAGAAGAAAGAAAATCAGAAAGAAAAAAGGAAGAAAGAGAGAGAGGAAAGAAATTTGGAAGGAGAAAAGGAAGGCGTGAGGGAGGAAGAAGAGGAGATAGATAGGAAGGGAGCCAGTCAGGTCCCTCGTTAGTCCGCTCAGCAGACTGGCCTCTCCACTGACAGGCCGGAGGCAGGTGCCCTGCACACAGGTAAGCCTCTTACCTGGTCACTCTGGGTCCCAGTGCCGGTCCGGGAGAGCTGTGGCCTCGCTGTCTGCATGGTCCTTCTGACCGGGAACCCAATCCTAACTTGCCAAGCAACCTTCCTTGGCAAGAGCGACCTGTCACCCACTGGCCAGCTAGAGCTCAGCCTCCTAGTCCTGTCAGCTGGGAGCTGCCTTCGGGCTTCCGGTTACTAATTAACCACTGGACTGAATGATCATTCTGGCTGCACCGTGGGCTGCAGGACAGCCCTTCCCTGGGGACCCTCTGAGCTTTTAAAAGCTACAGCTAAAAAAAGGGGGGGGGGCGCTGAGTTTTAAACTTCATTTGTATGACCTTGGGCAAGTGATTTCAACCCCTGGAGCCCCAGAAGAACCTCCTTGAAGGTGGGTCTCTGAAGTCCCTTTCATCATGTCACATATCCATTCCCTGGGATTGCCCCCTTCCCAACGTCTGCCTGAAACACTGACTTTTCCCCAAAGCCAGCAGCGCAATTTCCGTTTCTCTCCAAGCCTGGTGAAGAGACCATGAAAAGACTTGTCTCACCTGACTCCTGCTTCCACCCTTTCCCTGAGGGCCACCAGCCTTTCTGCTGAGTCTTCTGTGACCCTCCCAGAGATGTGCAGCGCATTCCGTCCTGACCGGTGCTTTGGCTGGACACCTTGGCCCATGCTTTGCTGAGCCAACAGCTGCCGCCCAGAGCTTACCTGCCTTGGCACAGGCCTGCAGGAGAATCAAAGCTGAGAGGAGATCCAGGGCCTGTTCTGTCTTGGAGAACTGAGGCCCAGAACAGGACTTGGCTAGTTCTGTTCACAGGAAAAGAAGGCTTTCTTGTGGTTGCTCCAAAGCTGCCCAGGCAAGGGAGGGACCTGGCTCACTGAACAGGCGTGCAAAGCTCTACTCAGTGGCCCCTCTGCAGTGGACTCCTCGAAGTCTGACTTCGCTTTGCTTCCACCCCTGCCTTTCCATTCGGATACCAACAACTTCATGGTCAGGTCCAGTGTTTCCAAAACGGACGGCTCTGACACGCTCCAGAGCCCTGCATGGCCACGCTCCTCACCTCCAGCACACACATCAGCACATGTCTGGCCTCAGCCCAAAGAGGGGAGGCAGCTGGCCCAAATGCACAGAGCAAATCAGGAAAACAGTCTGGGTCCTGCCCCTTCCACTGTGCCGCTCCTCCACACTCCTCCCACCCTGTACTTCCAGGGCTGGCTGTTAAAAAACCACACAGTGGTTATCAACTGTACAAACTGTACAAGAAACCCCCGCCCCGTACCTTTATCATGCTGTGGGGCCTTGCACACACTAGACAAGTGTGTCTACCACTGAGCTACACACCCAGCCCTCAAAAGTTTCATCATACGGATGAATGTCAAATAAAAAGTGAAAGCTTCCCCTCCAGACCTGTCTTCAGTTTCATTCCCAGAGGTAAGTGCTGGTAACTAAAAAGCGACAATCATTTCTGATGTTGGTCTTGCCCTAATTGATATACCGTTTTTTCCAAAAAACTAAGTCATGCTATACATATCATTCAGCAATCCATTGATTTTTCTCCCATGCTTTTTTCCATGGCAACACAAAAATCTAACTTTTTTTTGTGGTGGGGGCTGTCTTTTTGAGACAGAGTCTTACTATGCAGTTCAGGCTGGCCTTGAGCTCACCGTGTTTTTTGTTTTTGTTTTGGTCCCCAGGGATCAAACTCATGACCTTGTGCTTGCCAGGCAGGTGCTTAAACCGCTGAGCTAAATCCCCAGCCTCTTGAGCTTACTTTGTAGCCCAGCCTGGTCTCGAACTCACAATGATCCTGCTGCCTCAGCCTCTGAGTGCTGGGATTACAGGTGTGCTCCACCACACCCAGTTTAAAAGCTCAACATTTTTTTAACAACAGCATTACACTGCGTGGTCTTGGATCAACTCCACTGCTCCTATTTTTCTATTCCTATATCATGAAAGTGCCCATTTGCGGGGGGAGAAGGAAAGGGAAAAGAGGGTAGCTGGTTGAAATGGAGTAAGCTACACTAAATGCAGGTATGAACTTCCTGAAACAAAGCCTAGCATTATCTAGTATTAACATACAACAATAAACCAGCACAAAATAAAAGTACCTGTTTCATGATTCTTTGAATAACACTGCAGACAACATCTCTGCTGTCACATCCTGTGGCCTTGTGCTCATATTTTTGTTGGATACAAACTTTTGAAAGTGGGAGTACTAAGTGAGTTTTGACCTATTTACCAAATTTCTATAAAAAGTTCTGCCAGCAGACGTGGCTACTCACAGTGCTTGAACTTATCCTTCCTTCTTAGTGATGTGCAGTAACTGCCAAGGCCGCTTGTGAGGCGACATAAATCCCCACCCTGGGCATCTTCTTTTCCCTTCCTTCTTCCATGCCCTCCCCATCTCCCTGCAAGGACTCTGTTGTTTGGTAATGAAAGCCTAAGCCACGGTCTCAGGGATGGAAAGCGGCAGCCCCCTCCAGGAATATTCCCTCCAGTTCAACCTTTCTCAGCCCATTTCTCTGTCCTCCAGCCCCACTTCCACCTCCACCTCCACGCCTACCCACGGATTCCTCTACAGGGAGAGAAAATACCTGGCCCAGGGTCGGTACAGACAAATCTGTTACTCAGGAGACTTGGGAGCAGGACCCTCGTGCCAACAGACTCACACGTGGGCCTCAGTTTTCTTTAGGGAAAGAAAAAAGATTTTAGATGTGAAAAATGCATGAAGTTAAAAAAGGACTGACTATTGGGTAGAAAATGAAAAAGGTTAGTTCTTTATCCTCATCTTTTTAAAAAAAGATCTTTCCTTGGTATTTATCTCCTTGTGTCTAAATAACTTTATATTACTACTTTTCCCATCTTATGGTTTAATAAACTTTCAAAGAGTTTCCTTTTTTTTCTTTTTGTTTTTTGAGACAAAGTCTTACTAGGCAGTTCAGCCTGGTCTTGAATTCAGTATGTATTCCAGGCTGGCCTTGAACTCATGGTGATCCCCCTGCCTCAGCCTCCCAAGTGCTGGGATTCCAGGCTGACATCTCCTTGCCCAGCTGATGGGTTTCCTTGTGACTGTGGAGAATGAATATTCAGTTCTTGCCCATCTAAACACACTTTTGTTTCTCCTGATGTTAATTTATAATTGCTTAATTAGGCGGCTTAAGAAATTGCACCTGAGTATAGAGCATACATAGTTATGCGCGAACAATGGAGATGTGATCTGAGGAATGCATCAAGTGTTTGTCATTGAGTGGACTTAACACACTAGGATGTCTTTGGTGACACTGGGTGGTTTAAATTTTAGGGGTCCAAATATTCCACATGTAGCCCATCATCAATTGAAAGTCATTATGTGGGGGGCTGGGGATTTAGCTCAGCGGCATAAGCTCCTGCCTTGCAAGCAGGCAGTCGTGAGTTCGATCCCTGGTACCGATAAAAAGGAAAAAGACAAAAAAAAAAAAAAAAAAAAAAGAAAGTCATTATGTGGTGCATAACTGTATATTCAGTATTTTTAGAGATAATTGTATATTTTATATGTAACCGATAATTATATATTATTATACATAACTCCCTGTAATATATTAACATATCAGTTTCGGTTTGTTTGGGTCTCACCCAATCTTTCTGGATGTTCACCTTCCTGTTGTCACCTGGCTGTCACCCTGCCCCTTCCTTTTCCATCACTTTGGAAATTCTCCTTGTCTCTCCTTCTGAATCCTTTGTCTTCCTCTTCTGTGTGTGTGTGTGTGTGTGTGTGTGTGTGTGTGTGTGTGGGTGTGTGTGCGCGCATGTGTCTAAAATTGGCTATTTTAAGCATTTTTAATGGCATTAAATAAATTCATGATACTTTACTACTCTATTGTTGTTTTTTAAAAATATTTTTTCCTGAGCTGAGGATGGCGGCACATGCCTGTAACCCAGAACTTAGGAGTCTGAGGCAGGAGGATGACAAATTCAAGGTCAGTCTGGGGCAACTTAGCAAGACTCTGTCTTAAAAAACAAAAGCCCCCCCACCAAAAAAAATTGTTCTGTCTTTACTGTGGTATAATTGTAACAGTAATGAAGAGCTGACTAGCCAACCCAGTTTCTTTTTCAGATTGATCACTACAGGTCTATAAAAAATAACTCATTTTTCTATGTGGATATACTGCAAGTTTATTCTGGCAGCTTTCTTGTAGATTTTTTAGATGTAAGATTATGCCGTCTTAGCTGCACATATGAATACAATTTTACTTCTTCCTTCCCAATTTAAATGCCTTTTATTTTTTTCTTATCTAATTAACTTCTAGTACAAGCCTGGACAACAGTGGTGAGGGGACACATCCTTGTCTTGTTCCTGATTTTTGGGAGAGTGTTGTCATTCATTATCATTATGATGCTAGCTGTGGGCTTTTTGTAGATATTCTTTGTCGGGTGGAGGAACTTTGCCTTTTTATTTTTCAAAGACAGGGTCTTGCTATGCTTGAACTTATGTATCCAGGCTGACCTTGAACTTGTGGCAATCATGCTGTCTCAGCACCCCAAGTGCTGGGATTACATTTGTGTGCCAACATGCCTGGCATGGAAGCTCTCTTTCTAATACTAGCTTTCTGAGTATCATTATCATGAAAAGATGTTTGGCTTTGTCAAATGTCTTTTTATATGTCAACTGAGGGGATCAATTATTCTTCACATCCACCTTGTTTTATTTCTTTTTTTTTTGTCTTTTTTCTTTTTATTGGTACCGGGGATCGAACTCACCCGACTGCCTGCTTGCAAGGCAGGCGCATTATGCCGCTGAGCTAAATCCCCAGTCCCCCCGCCTTGTTTTACTAATGTGCTGTGTTCTTACTCTGAACGCTTGCATTCGTGGGATCTTCTTCTTCTTAGAGTGCACAGGAGCTAAAAGTGTGAAATCTTCAACATTTGAAAATCTTCTGCCTTCACATTTGACCCAAACTTAGCTGGGTATTCAAGTCTCCTTCCTTTAGAAGTGTGAAGACCCTGTCCTGTGGCTCCTTCCAGGCAGTGCTGTTGTGATTCATATTCCTTCAGCTGATACCTGTTTCCTTCTTCCCAAAGCCTTTAGGGTCTTTTTTCTTTTGTTATTCTTGCATACTTCCTTTCATATCTTTTATGCTAGGTGATTTGTGTGAACTCTTATTTGGAGACTTCAGTCTCTCAAGTCTATGAAAGTTTTTAAGTTTTTATTGATATAATTTGCTTTCTCTCTGGAATCTCTGCTAGTTGTACATTAGCTCTCCAGCAAATCTTCCAATTATTAAAATTTTTTTTACCATTTTTCACCTCTTTCTCTTTTTTATGTTATTTCCCAGGCAATATCCTCAACTTTATCTTTCAAATCTTGTGCTGAATTTTTATTTCTGCAGTCACATTTTGAATTTCCAAAACCTCCCTTTTTTGAGATAAGACTCCACTATGCAGTTCAGACTGGCCTTGAACTCACTTTTGTAGCTCAGGCTGGTCTTGAACTTGCGATGATACTCCTGCCTCAGCCTTCCAAGTGTAAGATTATAGGCACAAAAGCCCTTGTTGTGTATGTCAATGTTTCTTTTCCTTTCATTGCACCCAGGGCCAGCAGAGATTGACTTCTGGTAAATGGAAGCATCAAGTCTTCCACTCTAAGAGATAAGCAAAAGGGAAGGGTGGGAGTGGGTGGGAGGGGTCGGGCAGCTGAGGTGGCTGGAAGGTGCAGGTTTCATTTGCTTTGTGACAAACAGTGAGGACACCTGTTGAAATGATGGAGAAGGTAACAGAGGGGAAGTGTTGAGGAGCATGAGAGGGAAAGTCAGAGCTAAGCTCCCCAAGCCTCAGCTGCTTCCGAGGCAGCTCTGAGGTCTCAGGACACATGGAGGTCAGAGACCATCAGTCTTCCATGGCACCAATCTGCTCAGTCAGGTAAATTCCTGCTGAAGGTGAAGACGATCTCTTGGGCAGCTCCACAGGTTATATTCTAGCCAAGTGGTCTGGAAGAGCTACAGAAGAAAGGAATGCAGGATACTGACGAGCAAGGGGTGAAGTGACTTAAAAATGACACTTCTCCCAGGTCCCATGGGAACCCTCAATTCTTACCACTCGGCTTGACACCTCCCTTTCTCCTTGAGTGCCTGGTGCTATTTTTAAAATGGGAGGCCTTGTTCAGTTTCTGCCCTTGATCATTTGTAAAATGTCAAAGATAAGGCCCTTTCCATTATTTACACTCTCAGTGCAGACAAGAATGTTCACCTATCTTTATCCTTATCTCTTATCTTTAAAATAGTACAGTGACCAGGCTCTCCAGGACTGCTAGCTAACAGCAGGGGGACACTCTCCTCAGTAATAGTAGCACTGCTGTCCCTGTAGTGTTGCCTGGGTGTTTCACCATAGAAAGAGGACAGACTCTGGCTGTGTATCATCCAGCTATTCAACTTTATTTATAAGTCATTTCAACACATTGACAAATCACACCATATTTTGTAATTTTTTCTTCATGAGTCACTTTCATTTTAACCAGAGTTCTCTTACAGAACATGAGTTTAAGTACACACATACACACACACACACACACACACACACACACGCGTGCGCGTACACACACAAAGTACAAAAATGAAACCTCACCAAAGTGCATGAGAATAGAAGTGCAAAAAGGCTTAATTTTCAAACTCTGGGGCCATTCTCCGCCTCAGAAATTAAACCAAAAATTGTCCTTATCCTCAGCCAGTACAGGACAGGGGCTGAGCAAGCCTCCTGGGGCCAAAGTATAAGTGGTGCCTGTTGCTAGAGAACAGGGCACAGGGCACCAGAAACGCCACCCACTCCCTTCCCCTCCTGTGATCCCAGGCCAAGGTCCAGACAGCTCGTGTGGGCATGCAGTAGGGTGAAGGGCAGGAGGCCGGCTTCTTCCTGCTCTTCTAAGATTTGGTTTCTTCCCCACGGGTTTGACATTAGTGCAGAGAAGGCTGAGACCTCAAAGTTTAGAGGCCTTTGGTCCACCTGGCCTTTTCCATGGGTGAGCATTAGGTGGCTGGAAGATCCACATGGAAAAGGCTGTCCAGCTTCTCTCCTTTGAAGCTGGAAGGTCCACGGCACCAGGAAGGGAGCACCTGCTGCCTTCTCAACCCACAGAGTCAGAGAACATCTCAGAGGCAGATTAAGGACAGGAGCTGATGGGTTCCACTGCAGTTAGAATAAAAGACTTGCACGTGTTCCTTTTACTCCAGTCAAGGGGCAGCAATGTCATCTCTGTAAACTCAGCCTATGTATGCCCTGTGGTTTGGCTTGCCCACCTGTCCTCCTAGGAAGGCTGTGCTCAGAGCCACCTGAGGGCTGAAAGGGAAGGGACATCTGAAGCTCTGCAGAGATCAGCTGGAGGCTTAGTGGGGTATCCCCAAAAACTGTCTGGCCCACAGTGGAGGGCTGCCTCTTTACGGCTGTGGCAGGAAATTAACAGAGCTTTGGGTTTCCTCTAAAGACAAAAATAAAGCTTTATATTTTACCAATAGCCCTTGACATGGTCCCAGCACTGAGCCTCACATCTGTATATGAGTCCCACACACACATCCATACTGTCACATGACAAAGAGGGGGAGTCTGAGGAAGGACCCCAGCTCCACAGCTTGCAGGCCCATCTCAGCACCTGGAGGTGAGGGAGCTTGCACTAACCCTTCACCTCCACATGGGGCTGGCTTCTGGGGTGGCTCTGGTCCTTCCCACTTAGGCTGGGTGGAAGGTTTGGCAGTGGTTTAGTGGAGGCTGGGTCCCTGTGTGGACAGAGAGGCTGAAGACCCAGAGCCCCAGCACAGGCCCAGCTGGCAGTGCAAGACAAGATAAGAGGGCTTAAGGGACCCAAAGAATTCAAAGATAGGAGAGCTTACCTTTCCAACTCCTAACCCCAAGTGGGCTTTGTAAGACACCTCCAGAGCAAGTGGTAAACACAGAAGGGACGGATCAAATGTGATTTCATATTTGGGGTGGGGTTATGTGCTAGACAGAGTCCTACATTCCCATGGCGGGAGGCCTGGGAGGCAGGGGGCCTTTGCCCATGGGCAATACCTTAGCAAAGACCCATAGATGTAGAGAGGATGCTAGTTGTCTTTTGGGGAACCACGCCTTCTGGAGCTGTCCTTTGGCTAGAGATTTTCTGATAGTTCCTTGAACTGGCCTCCTGGCTTGGGCTATTTACCTGACCAGGCTTCCTCTTTCCTACACCCATCAGGGACAGTGTGTGCAAAACTCTGCCAGTTATAAAACAGGATCCAAACACTTGCTCATGCTGCTGGATCTAGGATCATGTGGGCCACTATAATGCCTGCTGGCTCAGAACTGGGCATGTTTGAAGGCATCTTGGCTATGAGTCTGTTCTACTGCTGGGAAAAACAGAGCTCCCAATGGGTTCCTTGATGGCACATGTCCATCTAGCCTACATGCCTGCCTTCCTTCCTTCTGTCCCTCACTCCCTCCCTTCCTCTCTCTCTCCCTTTTCCTTCTCTCTTAGGTGGTACTGGGGATTTATCCAGGGCTTTGCATTGAGTTACTCCTCCAGCTATGTCCCCCTGCCCTCCATCTCACTAAGTCACTAAGTTGCCACGCTGGGTTTAAACTTTCAGTCACCCTGCCTCAGCCTCCCAGAGTGCTGAGATTACAGGTATGTGCCACTAAGCCCAGCTATGATGACATGCTTCTGAGGCTCACATATCTAAAGCCAAGGGGCTGGCTAGGCCATGGATAGGGTCACTGCCCAGGAAACTGGGCTGCAGATTATAGGCCACAAAACCAGCACGGAGAAAGGGAGAAGGTGCTTTTACACATAAATGCCTGTAGCAGGATCACTTCTTGATAGGAGGAAGGAAGTCAAGGAGAGAAAAATACAGATGCCAAAAGGAAAAAGAGCCTCAGTGTGGGGACTCCTACTCTACCAGATTCTTCCTCACTAGTAAGCAAAAGAACCTTTGATCACAACAGAATCAAGGAGAGATGTGGGAGTTCCCTAGACAGGGTACCTCCCACCAACTCCTTGGGCGATGCCACAGCTCAGTCCTGGTTTCACCAGTGCCCCTGAAGGTAAATGTGAGCTCCAGGACCAGGGCCAGGTCTCTACCTTCCCTAGGGCCCCTCTGCACCTTTTAGGAAAGAGCAGGCCTGTCAGGTACAGAGGGTGGGGGTACAGTGGGGGTAGGAGGGTCACGCCAGGAAGGAACCATCAGCTGGAGAGGGAGGCCCAGCAAGGACTGCAGGAGGCCCCAGCCCCAGTCACTTTAAGGTGTCATCAGTGTTTTTGAACATGAGAATGGCGTTATAGATCTTCAAGGCTGGGCCCAGCTTGACGCTCATGATCTTCACAATGTCCGCCTGTGTCAGCAAAAGGAAGGCCTCGCCGTCAATCATCTGAGGGGTCGGGAAGGGAGGTGGAGGGCGGAGAAGGCAGAAAGGGTCAAGGGGAAGGGGTGAAGGAGAGGTGAGGATGTGCTCAGGGAATGAGAAAACGGGAGCAAAGGGGGTGTCATATGTGGGGGGAAGGGGTGTCAGAGGGAAGAGAGGGACAGGAGAAAGGAGAAAGGGGAAGAAAGGAGAAAAGGAGACAGCAATGGGATGGAGAAGGAACGAAAAACAGCCACTGGCCCCCCAGGGTCATACGTATGCACTCTCGCTTTCTCTATCTCTGCTGACCAGGATGAAATGAAAATGAGGACCCCATTTGTTCAAAAGAGCATTAAGAGTTTCAAGGTAGTGACAGCTGGCCCTGAGCCCAGGAAGTTTACTTTGCCCACATCCTCAACAATTTCCCTCACTAGTCATCCACTCTGTAAATGTTTCCTGGAGCCCAGTAATCTCTATAACCACCTCCAAATCCACAAGTATGATTCACACCTTTGAAATGTCAAAGACAAAACATCCTCGCTTAGAGCTGCTAGTGGTTAATGGTGGAACAGGTAGACACTGTGCACATCCCATGGGACCCCAGTGTGATGCAGGAGGAGGGATGCTCTATCACCTGACCTACTGTTGATAAAAAACACGGCGGGGCGCGGGGGGTGGGGGGGAGACAGGGACAGAGACAGAGAGACACAGAGAGAAGAAATTGATTTAACCTAAACCTAACCAAGACTTTGGACCTGACCTTCAGTTTATAGAGAACACAAGCAACAGAGGAACAAGTGAAGCAACATTACAAGGAAACAAAACAAGTCCAGAAGGGAACATTCTGCAATACTCTTAGAAATGTCATGAACATAGAAAAGTCGGGGGGGGGCTATCCTAGAATGATCTTGAGGAATCATATCAACTGAAATCAATTATTTGGGTCTTGTGTGCTTCAAAAACTACAAAAGATGTTTTGAGGCAACTGGGAAGATTTGAATACAGCCTAGGTATGACACGGTACCAAGGAGCTACTGTCACCCTGTTAGTGGGATTTCAACATTGTGGTTATACAGAGATAGTCCTGTTTCAGAGATGCAAGCTAAAGTACTCAGGGATGTATGTCAGATCTGTAATGTAAAATCACTTTGTCCACAGATAGGTAGGAATGGTGATAGCTGCGAATTCTAAAGGACAGATATATGGGTAGAGTTAGCAAGGGAAGAGGCCAGCTGTGGAGGAGCGAGTGAGAACACCCAGGGTAGGGACCTGTGCAGTGGAAACCCATCCAAATGTTTATGAACAGGACAACTACGGTACACTCATAACACTGGACACTAATCAGCTATAAACAAACTTTGGGCACACATAACAACATGGAAAGACCTCAAAAACACTTACTGAACAAAAAGATCCCGAAGAGTACATGGTGTCTGATTCCTTTTATACAAGTTCAAGAATAGACCAAGTTATTCTATGGTGCTAGAAATCAGAACAGTGGTTGTCTCTTGGAATGTGGACTAAAAGGGGCATGGAAATGCTTTACAAATTGATTGAAGGGCTGGGTTCAAGTGTGCATGTTCTAAAACTTGTGACGCTATGTGGAGTTTTAAGATGAACATTTCCTCAATCTCTTCCTCCCCTTCCTCCTTCCCTGCTTGTCTCCCTTGCCACACCCTGGTGGGAAGCCTCTAGAAAGGCCTGGTAGAAAGGCCTGGTTAGATGGGCCCTTCACCTGATTCTGTGGGGGTGGGGGCACCACCCAGGATCGGAGGAAGGAACCAGCTGTGCCGGGCCTGGATGAAGGCATCTTACTAAAGAGGCATGGGCTCCTTCTTACAGACATCTGACCTGGATAGGCAACTTGGGGCAGCCAAGTCTTGGGCAAAGGTGAATATATAGGAGGAATATTTGTATTCTTTGGAACAAAGCCCTACACATTAAACTCAAAAGTCCCTTCCAATTTCAAATTCTACAATTAGGAGAATCATAGTATAATTCTTTATTTAAGGGCAAATATGTATTAAAAGTCACAACTACCATTTATAGAGCCCCCACTATATCTGGACTTCTCATATAGTGATATAATTTACATATTACCCAACAATACTGATGTAAGCTAGCACCACTTATGTATTAATTAGCAATATGTAAATATCATTATATTTGGGAATATATAAATATCACTATATATTGATATACACATAGTTATATACTTATACACAGCAGTATTATGTTATAAACATATGTGCACACATATATATATATATGTTTACACACACAGTAATGACAAGCATTATGGCATAATGAGTTCTCCTCCTTTCCAATGCTCATAATGACCCCAGGTTCATGCTGATTATGCCCACTTTATCTCCATTTTACAAATGAGATGCAGGATCAGAGACAATAAGCAGCTCAAAATGAGAGCACTGGAATTTAATCCAGACTGTTGCCAAAGCTGGATTCTTTACCAGTAATTCACTGTTTCTTATTTTTGCTAAGGTCTTGGGTTTTAACCATAACTATGCATCAGGATCTTCACACTTAATAGCAATAACTGTGCCATTTAAAATATGCCTTGTTGGAGCCGGGGATACAGCTCAGCAGTATACGGACTTGCCTGGTGAGCACAAGGTCCTGAGTTTGATTCCCAGTACCCTCCAAACAAAAACAAAAACAGAAACAAAAACAAATGTGCCTTGTGCTGAGGATGTTCCTCAGCAGCAGAGTGCATGCTTAGCTGGTGTGAAGCTCTAGGTTCGATCCCCTTGCATGGAATCAATCAAACCAACAAAAAATACAAAACAAAAACCCACTTTAATTTCCTGACTACCAGTAATGAGACTAAGTTTGGCCATTGAAAGACTGGGTAGAAAGCAGAGGAGTGAATGGATTCCCATCTCCAGGATGTGCTTTCTTTCCTGAAGATGACCTGAACACACAGTATCAGGTGGGTCACAGTCCATACCAAATTCTTCCCAGAAATCTAAGTCACCAAGACTAGTCTCAGGGAATAACAGATACCCTTCCCTGAGTGGGCAGTGCTGGTGGGGCACCTGCTGCCTGCCAGCTCCTGACACAGTGACCTTGTCACTGTGTTCTCTTCTGTGCTTGCACCTTACCTCATCTCTGAAGAGGCGCGCCTGGTCCTCACAACCTGTCAGGGTCTGAACGAAGCCAAAGACCTTGGAAACCAAAGAAGACGCGCTGACCCGGTGCCGAGACTGGCGGTGTGGAGGAAGGGTGGGCCTCTCTGGCCTTGGTGTTCGCCAGCTGTGCTAGTGGTGCCTTTCACCTTGGCCTTGGAGGAGAGGCCTTGGGGCCTCCCCGCATCTTTGTGCTGGCAGGTGTGTGAGGCGAGCCCTTTGCTCCCTAGGCTCATGTCTAGTGCCTATCTCCTTGGATTTCCAGCTCAGTGCCAGCATGCCTCCCCCTACCCCATAGGCCCAGTGTGTCAGTCAGTCCTGCTGGGCAGCTGGAAGGGACAGTGGACAGGAAGGGCAGTCAGGAGAATGGGGCTCCACCTAACCAGGGCCTTTCCTGAGTATCCCACCACTACCACCAGGCTGTGGTGAGAGGGAGGAGCAGGGCAGGAGGAAAAGGAGGTGGCGCTGAAAGGCTCCTCACCTCCTCGATGGTCCACTTGGACACGGCGGAAGCCGAGATGCCCGCCACTCCCGGCAGGAGTTTGCAGTGCTGCTCCCAGCATATGGACAGTGCGCGGTCAGGGTGGGCCGACAAGGCTGACATGAAGAGGGACTGCTGCATGACATCAGGAGCAAGCGCTGGGGAGCAGAGGCACAGGCCGAGGGCTGACGCTAGAGTCTGGTCCCCAGAGCCAGCCCACACCCCCACCACATGGAGAATGGCCGGCAAAGAGGACAAGACCAGTGGCCTCTTCCAACGGCCTGCAGAGCCACCAGGGTGACCACGTCCTGACTCCTCGCCCAGTGCTCGCTACTTTTGCACCAGTGGGTTCCTTACAGACTCCCAGGCCATTTCTCTGAGGTTGCAGCACCTTGGGGCCTGCAAGGATTTTTTAGAGGTGCTGCAGCATCTCAGGAGACACCATTCTGGTGCTGGGAAAACTGGCTCTCCACATGCTGAAGACTAAGACTAGACCTGTGTCTATCACCATGCACTAAACCAAGGTCCAAGTGGACCAAAAATCTAAAATATTAAAATAGAAACACTAAATTTACTGGAAGAGAAAACAGGTAGAAATCTTGAAGATAGGCAGAGATTTCATGAGCAAAACCCAAACGGCAAAGAAAATACTACAAAGAATCAACAAATGGCATCTTACCTTATTAAAAAGTTTTTGTACAACAAAAGAAACCACCAACAGAGTGAAAAGACAACCCACAGAATGGGAAAAAATTATAGCCAGTCCCTCAGACAAAGGACTTATATCTAAAATGTATAAAGAATTGAAAAAAATCAGACCCCCAAATTCAAAGACCCAATCCAAAATGGGTAGCTGAGATGAACACACACTTCTCAGATGAAGAAATACAAATGGCAAATAAATACATGAAAAAGTGTTCAACATCATTAGTCATTCAGGAGAAGCAAACTAACACAATACTGAGATTTCATTTCACAGAAAAAAATGGCTATCATCAAGAAATCAACTGACAACAAATGCTGGTGGGACTGTGGGGGAAAAGCAACACTGCTCCACTGTTGGTGGGAGCGTAGACTGGTGCAACTACTATGGAAATGTGTGGAGATCCCTCAAAAACTAGGATTAGTGGTCCCATTAGACCCCGCTATTCCATTTCTGGGTGTCTTCTCAGAAGAACTGAAAACATCATACCGCAGTGATATATGTGCACCCATGTTTACAGCAGCACAATTTGTAATAGCTCTGTCTTGGAAACAACCCAAATGACCATCAACTGAGGAAAGGATAAAAATGATGTGGTATTTTTATACAAATATGGGTGAGTATTTGTATAAAATACTCAGCCATAAAGAAGGATAAATTTGAGACTTTTATAGGTAAGTGGCAAGACCATGTAATAAGTGAAATAAATCAGATCCTTATGGGCAAACATCATACTGTCTCACTAGTGTGGTAAACGGAATGAGTAAATAAGATCCAAAATGTATAATAGATATTGTGAATTGAGAAGAAACTGTTCAAAAGGAAAGACAAACTGTGATGGGGGAAAGGAAGAAAGGGAAAAAGAAAAAATTATAGTTACACACAAGATAGTTAAGATAGTTATATATCTAGTTTCTTTTAGTTTATTGAAAAGGCAGGTTTGCGCTAATATTGTTTGGACAAGATATCATGCCTGTATCTTGTACTCTGAATAATTACTACAAAGACAACAATACATAATGTATTAATCTTTGTAACTCTTCTACTAACCTATCTTGAAACTGTGTTTTATTGATTTTTTGTTTCTTTAGTTTTTGGTACTGGGGATCGAACTCACCACTGCGCGCTTGCAAGGCAGGTGCTTATGCTGCTGAGCTAAATCCCCAGCCCTGTTTCTTAAAAGAGAGAGACAGAGACAGAGACAGAGACAGAGAGACAGAGAGAGATGCCATTCTCTAGATGCCCTGCCTCAGAGTGGTCCCCCCACTCAGCTCTGATGTCAGAGATGTGTTCCGTTTGTCCTTCTTTCCTAAGTGCCTTTGGCCTGACCAGCTCCTCCAGAGCCTGGGTGATTCTGAGGTCTGCCTACTCTAGCACTACAGGGTGAACAACCCTGCTCCCTAACTCCACACTGCCTGTCGCTGCTCTGCTTGCGAAGCCCTGGCTCCTGATCTCCGGCCTTACGCTGGCTGCAAGGATCTCATGATGGGTGCTCTCCGGCTTGGTCAGACCTGGCCCTGCCCATGTGGTCTTCACGCACTCCACCTGAGGGCCTGGAGGCGAGGGCTCTCCTCCTGCTGCCTCTGCTCTTCAGCCCCAGCCTGAGTACCTGCCCACCCCAGCAGCCTCCTTAGTGTCTCTTAGGAGCCGCTTGCCCTGCACCATCAGCCACCTTCTCTTAAGAAGCAGCGTGGCACACTCAGGGTCACTCCTGAGATCCACCAGCACCTGGCACACTCTAGCCTTGTTCACCCAGGAGCTCCCTCTTTGAAGCCCGGAGTCTGGTCCCCCTCATGGACTACTGTAGGCTTGAGGGATAACATGAAGTCTGTTGGTGGCTTCCTTTCTTGTCTGTCTTCCGAGAGCCCAGCCAGGCTCTCAGAGGCGGCCACAGCTTCTCACCTAACCACTGTAACTGCAAGTGAGAAGTGGCCCCACTGGTTCTTTCACCATCTGAACTTCTGGAGCCTCAATAGGAAGCCCAGCCAAGCCCTATCCTTCCCAAGCCACCCTCCTTAACGAGCAAGTTGCCAGTGAACCTTCTGGGCAAGAGCTTACTGGTAGAGCAGGGGAGTCCTGCACAGAGGTCACAGACTTGCACTGTCCCTGAAGGTCCCCAAGGCCTTAGGTGCATTCTACCTCTTTTCTCTGGGCCAGTCTAGATGGCAGAAAAGACTCATGTCCCAAGGATTCTAGTCATTTGGGAGGTGCCCTCAGGAGACACAACTTGGTCCTTCAAGGAAGCTGAGGGGCAGAAGAGGTTGCGACTAGAGTTCTATCCCTGAAAATCTTCATCTGAGGGCCCAGCCACTGGCCAGGACCTCCTCGTCAGGCTGGTGGCTGCAGGAGGGCTTTTCTTGTTTCCACCAACAGGAAACTGTATGGAATGGCAGCAAGGAGGAGTCAGGTCGGAGATGCAGATTAACAGTGACGCTTGCAGGTACCTATGCTAAGTGTGCACATGACAGTGGCACTGAGGCTGCCTGCCCCACTGTGCAGTGGCATTATCATTGTTAGCATATGACAAGTGAGCACACGGAGGGCCAGCACCAGCCTAGCAGCACAGCACCTGCCTGGCAAGCCCAAGGCCCTGAGTTTCATTCCTAGTAGCCCCCCAAAAAGAGAAAGAAAGAAAAAGAAATTGCAGACTCATCCTGATTTTAGATACTAAAACGTGCTGCCTAGAGTGGGCAGATATAGTTTATCATTAAAAAATGGAATTTATGAACTTTTTAAAAGAAAATATGAATAGGACTTCTCCTAAATGTATTGATCTAGAATTAGTGCAAAAACTTTTAAAACACATTGAGTAACAGAAGCATTCCTTATAATGCTAGCAACAAATATTAGAATACATGTTTATAAAGTTGAAATAAAAGACATAAAAGCAGAGGCACTTCTGTAATTATTGAGAATACGCTTGTTTGTTCGTTTTGTTTGTTTGTTTTTGGTTTTGTGTTTGGTACCAGGGATCAAACTCATGAGTTCATGCCTGCGAGGCAGGCACTTACTCTGCCAAGCTAAATCCCTGGCCCTGTAGTTATTGAGAAAAACTGGATATTGCTTTTGGTTGGGGAGGGAGTCTAAACCGAGATCAGTTACCAAATGAGAAGGCCAGAAACTTGTGCTTTCTAACATAAGAACATAAAACAGTGCTGAATGTTTTAAGTGTTCCTCACTAGCCATACAATGTCTGACTTTCAAGTTATACTTATGACTCATTTATATAAAAACTATTTCACATTCATGTGGTTTTTCAAATAAAAACTAGAGTTTACGATACACATAAATTTTACTAGCTAAGAAAATTTAGTGTTTTCTGTACTGAGTTTATATATTGTACTTCTTAACGCAAGTGACAAGGAACTCAGATATCTGAGCATCTCCTGCTGAACTGAACAGTACTCACTGCTTTGGCAAAGCTGGTTTCACCCAGCGTAAGAGAAAAATAAGTTGGCCTAATGTGCCAAATAGTAATATTAGATGGAGTAAAAGAATAAAAAGATTGTTCTTTTAAAACATGTTAACTTCTAAAAATAAAACAAAATTTACACGTTAAAAGAAAAAGAATGGCAACAGAGGCCACTGAAGCCCAGGAATTTGGACATCCTATGAGACGAGACACCAGGAACACCTGCACACAGAGGTCAGACTGTGCAAGGACACGGCAGGATGACGGCCACCTGCAAGCTGAGAAGAGGCCTCAAGAGAAACCAGTCCTTTTGACACTTGACTTCCTGCCTCCAGAGCTGTGAGAGATAAATGTCTATTGCTTAAGTCACCCGTCAGTGGTATTTTGTAAGGATGACCCGTGTAAACGAGGCCAAAGGTGTTGGGAAGTTTGGGTTGGGTGCTGCTTGTCTGTTACCCCAGCAGCATGCAGCAGAAGCCAGGTCCACGTGAATCCTGGTGCAGCCCCTCACAAGGTGAATAACCTTGGGCAAAGGATTTCACCTCTGAGCCTCGCATTCCTCTCTCGGGTGCTCGTGAGTCTAAAGCACTTGGCACAGGGCTGGGTCCAAGGCCGGTGCTCAGAAACAATAGTGGTGACTGTTATTTTAGGTCTTGAAAGGCAGGTTTTGCTCATGTTTTCAAGTGAGGAAACTGAGGCTCAGAGATTTTTAAATGACTTGCTCAGGTCACATAACTAGAAAATGCCTGCATGGTCTCCTTCCTAGGAAGCTCAGAAGGAGAGAAGAACAGCTAGGTATCATCTTACCTCTAAGTGGAGACCAGAGAATGAGAGCAGCTTGGAGCCTTTTCCACAGACTCACAGCAAGGCCATGGAACTGGAACCCAAGGTCACTCAAGGTCTCATCCCCTGTTCTGGGCACTGTTCTAGGTTCCCAAGAAATTTCACAGGTGGCCTCCCTGCCAGTTCCTCCCACTCTTGTCACCCTGATGTCCCATCCTGCTGACTGCTGAACACTGGTGGAGGACATGGGACCAGGGGACTTTGGCTTACTCTGTAAATCTTCCTGTGGACTCTTCCGATACTTTGGAGGGCGTCCAATCCTGGAGAGAGAGGGACCAGGTCCATGGCAGGGTGTCAGGACAGGAGGCTGGCCCCCAGGAAGCCCAGGTCCTGACATCCCCTGGTCTTCGCACCGGCCATGAGGACGAGGCTTCTTTCTTGGTGACAGGTTGGGCAGGTTCTTCTTCTTGGCTGAGGCCTCCGTGTCAGACAGTTCTGCTTTCAGGCGGCTCTGGTTTCTCTCAGCCAGTGGGCAGCCCGAGAGGCAATGGTGAGCTGTGAACTTGCCTGTGACATGGCCAGACCCATCACAGCCAGGAGTGGGGCACTTCCTGGAAAGGAATCAGGCATAAGATGCTTGTCTCCCGTCAGCCCTCCCAGGCTTGGCCCTGTTGAGAAGGTCTCAGTGGGTGCTGAAGAGCCTCACTCAGCAAATACAGACCTGCTGGTGGGAGGGAGGCCTTCACTCACCGGTGGTGAAAGCTGTATTTGGAGGTCCTGGAGTGAGACAGGCTCCTGCAGCTGAGAGGGGGGCAGCCCCCAGGAGAAGCAGAGCTGGGATCTCTGGGCCCTGGAGGAGCAGGGAGAGGAGTCAACCCATAGTCCTAGGGTTGAAGGATAGAGGGCAAGGGACAGTTTCTACATGAGAGTCAGTGCTGGAACTAGTTCCCTGGCCAGGTTGTGCTGCTATTCCTGCTATTGGACATCTGCCTGATGCCGGGGAAGGAAGGTTTGGTTCTCATAGACTTCCCTGAAACCTGCAGGCCATGCCCTCAGGTTGGGAGCCAGCAGCCCTGCTTAGTGTAGCAGGCAGCCTTAGGTGGGGAGGAAGAAGATCCTAAAACTTGCTGTGGGCTCTGGACCTGGGCACAGGGGCCAAAGTCCCTTGGCCAAGCTATACGACGTAAGTATTTTCAGAGGTTGATGAGAAGGGAAAGAGGCAGGGTGCCCAAGGGGTACACACGGAGAGGAGGCTCCAGGGGATGGCCTGTCTTGGAGCACCAGCCTGCAGGATGGATGTCTGGGTGGTCGGCATCAATCCAGAAGTCATAGCTGTGACTCCAGCCATCAAAGTGGAGCTGGGGAGGAAAGGCCCTTGGCAGTCAGACATTCCTCAAGGAGCCCAGCTAGCTAAGAGGTCCTCTAAGTTCCAGCAGGATCTCCCAATTTTGGGAGCTGTCAGAAGGAAGGGGCCATCACACTGCAACTGGTCTTGCCCCATGTTCCCCACGGGCTTCCTGCATTAAATCACTGACATCTGCATTAGTGCTTGAGCAGGCCAAAGATTATTAGGCCTATTTTATAGATGAAGACTAAAGCTCAGAGAGAAGTGACTTGTTGAAGTCCCCAAAAGTAAGTCACACACAGATGAGGAAACGAGATTCAAAACCTTCAGCTTCCTATCTTGTGCCGTGCCCTTGACCTTGAACCAGTCTACTGAATTCTTTCCCAAATGATCTCTCTACTCTCCCACCCCTAGGGTCTTGAAGCCACCTTTATCCGATGGTCTTCCACATCATCCACGCTGGCCACACGAATCAGGGCTGGGTTCCTACGGTCCACAGCTTCCAGCTTCATGTTGACCAAGAAGTTGTGCGGAGGTCGCTGCAGATGGACAGTTGCTTTCAGGCCAAGGCCCAGCTCAGTAGAGCTGAGGCTCCAAAGTGAGAGCCCAAGTTCTGTGCCTGGGGAAACTGTGGCCTGCCCAAAGGAGGGAACCAAAGCTGCTGAGTATTCCACACCTTTCTGAGTTCAGCTCTGGGGAAAGGGAGCTTCAGCTTACCACTTTGAAGGCCCAGGTGGGCACAGCAGAAGTCCCGGTTTCTTCCAGATATTTCTCCCAGCAGAAGCTATCAGGGTCTGGGTAATCTACAGAACAGGGTGAGTGCAGTGAGTGCCACCCAGGTGAGGGGAAGAGCTCTTTTTCCCTAGGCAGGATCAGGAACACAGAAGGGGCAGAGCCCCTAGTAGCAGAATCCATTCACATGACCATGGCCAGCCTTGCACTGGGCTCCGGGGGCAGACAAGTTCTGGGGAAAACTAAGCACACACTACCTACTCCAACAGCTCACAGGGCCACCTGGGAACCCTGCACCCTGGTCCTGTTGCTTCTCCTCCAGTCCGTCTGGATCTGGACTGTAGAACTCCCAGGAGGAAGGATGCCCTTTCTTTGCTTTGGACTTCCTGCTCCCTTGCTGAGGTGGGCATCTAAATTTCTCCCCCTAAACCTGACAGTTTGACAGGACTGTCCTAAAGTCAAAGGGGTCTCAAGTCCTTGGCCAAGAAGCTGAGATCCCTGGCCATAGCTATCCCCTCTCCCTGACCCTTGAGAGCGCACGAATGAGATCCTGGTAAGGGATTAGGAGACAAGGAATTGGGACGAAGCCTAGGAAGGGGCATGCTCAGGCCACAGGGTCACCTTGTGGCGGGGTGAGGGGCTTTCCTTGCTTCTGACACCAGCCTACTGGGTGGATGTAGGGACTGCTGGGATCACACCTGAAACCGAAGAACACGTCACTGCCCCAGGGGGAACATGCAGGGCTGAGCCTACATCCCACCACACCCTGGTTTCAAAGCTCACCCTACGTTACTTCTTAGTGAGAGGAAGATATGCAGCTAAAGTTAGACTCAGAAAACCATCAGATTAGTTAAATACTCTAGAATATGATAGTATCTAAGGGAGACTCATGAGTTACAGGTTTGCTCATCTTAACCAGGGTGGTTTTAGATGAAACATGTAATACTGAGATATATTTCTTATGATACAGCTTATATCCACAGGACTGCCAATTATCTTCCATGCTGAGCAGAGATCTGAGCTCCAGGATTAGACTGAGATCTGAAAGTACTTGCCCCCTGCTCCTGACCCCCCCTCCCTCCACAGACCAAGTCTGGATCCTCCCACTACCAGTAGTCGTAAGTATCATCCCAGTTGTCAAAGTGCACCAGGAAGCGGCTGTCCACCACGTCGGTCACACTGGCCACGCAGACGAGGGACGGGTTCATGCGGTCAACAGCCTCCAGTTTCATGCCCACCTGGAAGCCCAGGGGAGGGGGATTCTAGGGGTACAAAGAGGGACTACTGTGGCTAGGGTTAGGCTAGCCAGCGCTTGAAACTACAGAAGTAAGTTTTCTAGGGAACTGTCTGGCGAAAAGGGAGGAGAAATAGGCTGGGAAGGAGGATTCTCAGGACAGTCATAACCAGAGCTCTGAGCCACTCAGGAACTTCTGGCCTCCGGTTACAGAGGAGGCTGGACTTGTGGCAGAAGTGATGGTAGGAGGCTATGCATGTACCTGAAGAATCTAGCAGGCTATATACAAGTCTCCCCTACCCACACTAGCCTGGCCTGGCTTGGCCCAGCTGAGGAATAAGTGGGGTAGCTGGAAAGTGGGGCAGGTGTCCAGTATTAAACAGGCCTCCTGGCTCAGCCTTCCAAGTTCTGGGATGACAGGGGTACGCCACCACACCTAGCCATTATTCTTGTTTTCCAAGTTATATAGGTCGAACCAGAACACAATGCTGATCAGTGGCAGGGACAAGACTTACAGTTTGACTTAAAAGTCTACATTTCCTGTGGGAAATGTAGCAGGTGGGACACTGCCAGTGACCTGTGAACCCCTAGGTATGGTCTCTGGTATTCAGCTGGGGCAAAGTGGGTAACGGATCTTGTCTGAACAGCAGAGTTCTCGGCCCATTCAATACCGGGATCCTGGACCTTCAGTGTTTTTTTGGTTTCATTTTGTTTTGCTTTGGTATTTTTTGTATGTTGGAGATCACACTTTGAGCCTTGCATATGGCAGGCAAGTGCTCTATCACTGAAGTACACCTCACCTCCAAATATGGCAGTTTTACATTTATTTTTCTTTTGGTACTGGGGATCAAACTCATGACCTTGTGCTTACCAAGCAAACACTTAAGCCACTGAGCTAAATCCCCAGCCCTATGGCACAATTTTTAATAGGGGTTCCCTAAACCTCCTAGACACTTTGCCTGGAATTATGTGAGATATTTTGCTAAATATAGTGCAGGTTGCCTTGACAGGAAAAAACAAGGGTGAATTGTTCAGAATGAATGGGAGAACCTCAATATTAGCAGAAAAGAAGGAAAACAAAGATCTCAGAATGGAGCCTTTGACTTCGTGCAGAAGAACTGCAGAGCAAAGGATTATGAGCAACGATGTCAGTGTCCTGCCAGGCAGTGGCCTCAGAGGGGATGCTGGGGGAACTCTGCAGCAGGGCAGTGCTATTGTTTGGTCTTCCAGGGGCTCATGCGCTGGAGACTTAACACCAGGTTGGCAGTATTTTAGCAAGGCCTTAAAGAGGAGGGTTCTAGCGGGAGACATCTGACATTGTGGACATCACCCTCAGAAGAGATTAATGTGGTTCTTGTAGGACGCTGGTTAGTTCCTGTGGAAGCGAGTGCTATAAAGTACAAATAAAAAAACAAAAAGCAGGGGCCAGAGATTTAGCTCAGTGGTGTAAGCACCTGCCTGGCAAGTGCAAGGTCATGAGTTCAATCCCTGGTACCATAAAAAGAAAAAAAAAAAAAAGCAATCCTGACCCTTGAGTACTTTTGGCTCCAGACTTGGCCTGTGATTTCTTCCATCTGTGCTCCCACCCTTTAGTCCTCTACCATAAGGCTCTTCTCAGAGGCTGAATAGATGGAGCCACCTCATCTAGACTCAGCCTCTAAAACTGTAAGCTAAATAAGCTTCTTTTCGTTATACAATACCCAGCCTTGGGTATTTTGTTACAGCCACAGAATATAGACTTAGACAGGACAGAAGAAAGGAACCAAGGGAAAACCTATTGCCAGCTTTCCCACCTCTGGCCCCTCGCCCTACCCAGCCATGCCTCTTCCATCTGATAGAATAAATTACAACAAAGCTTCGAGTACCAGTAGATAAACTCTGATGAGTCAGAACCCCTGGGGTGGCTGCAGTGATTCTGGCCCTGGGATGCTGTCCGCTCTTGCTCAGGGGCACTCACGTGGCTTTGGCTCACAAACAGGTGCTTGGGGGCTGCCTGAGCTCTTGTGTTGCGCAGGTACTGGCTCCAGCTGAACTCTTCCTCCTTGTAACCTAGGCCCCTCGGGGGGAACGAACAGAGCGCTGTGTAGAGACTGGTCCGTGGTGTGGGCACCCCATACTGAGGCAGCAGAATCACACAGGCCTGAGGACCTCACGATCCTCAGGAATCTATCTATCCAGGAACCCCATGCTGAAGCAGGTGACCACTAGGACACTCGGAGGGCAAGGAAAAAGCCTTCGGGCTTCTGGCCAGCTTGGCCCCAGGGAAGAGTCATATCAGAATATGATGAAGAGGCAGGCTTTGGTATAGGTGACAGTGACAGAAAACAGGGGGGCTGGAATGGGGCTGGCAGGGAGAAGGGATGGGTCACAGGCCTTACTACCTCAGGGGGCCAATCTGGATAGGTCTTACCTTTGGGAGGCTGCAGCTTGTGCCCAGTCTTCTCAAACCAGCCAGCAGGGTGGATGTCGGGGGAATTGGCATTGACCCAGAAGTCATGGCACTCAGAATACCCATCGAAGTGCAGACGCAGGCGGTAGCCGCACACCTAGAGTGAGGGAATTATAGGGACCCCAGTACTAACAGATACCCTATTCCCTACCGGTCGGCTTGGGATCTCAGGGGCTCTAATGATAGCAACTTTCTTTCTCTCTCCTGTCCTGAACTCTGTCCCATACTGTCCCATCCTGCAATAAAGACAGTTTACATACTCAAGAGCCCCAAGTGCTGGATGTGGACTCTATGACAATTGCTTGCCCTCTCCAGCCCTGGGAAGAGCTTGCAGGGTGCCCACAAGGCTCAGAACTTTCCCTGGGTCCCTGCTGCTTTTCCTCCTGCTGTCACATGTCATCACTCGCCATTTACACACCCTTCTGCGGTCTTGCTGAGATAATGGCAGGTCTTTGGACGTGGTGACCAGCTCCATGCCCCAGACCCTTGCTCACTTTGCTTCTGCCTGGAATTCCCATTCAGTCACACTCCTCCCTTGAGACAGGCTCTTTCCTGTGTTGGAAAGGTGCATTCCTTCCTTGTGCACTGGCCACCCAGTGGATCTCACTGGTATGTTCACCGGACCAATTCCCTGTACAGCTCGGAAGTCCTGGCTGAGATTCCAGCCAACATCCCCAGCCCTTAGGATCTTTCCGAGCAGGCTTATTCTGTACTGCACTGTTTCTCCCTCCCTCCCTCCTCTCTCTCATCCTCTTGCTCTCCCTCTCCTTTGTGCTTTAACTCCCTCCCTTCTATGACTGCTTTCCGAGGCAGGGCACTGTCTCCCTAATGCCCCCAGGGGATCCAGGGTCCTATGCCGAGAGACATCAGAAGGGTATAACTAAGCCCCAGCTCACCTCAGCCACAGTGAGGATGAAGTACATGGATGGGTGTTGAGGGTCAATGCCTTCCAGCTTCATGCCCAGTTTGAAGCCATTCTTGAGATGAGTGGCTGCCTGGGACTGTCAACGCACAGAGTGGAGAGGACCCAGCTTCCATCCAGCCTTATCCTTGCCTAGTGGGCTTGGGGTGAAGGAGCTGCCTTTAGCCCCCACCCGCCTGGTGTTACCAAAGGAGCAATGCACTTGAGGATCTGTACAGATCCCCGAACTGTGGGATCCAGAAAGGGGTAGAAGAGCCGTGGGACCATTCTGAGATGGGTATGTCAGGGCTGGATATAAGACTTCCTTCTTGCCCCAAGTCCTAGGAAGGTCAGTACTGAGTAGCGGTATCAGAATTCAAATGCTTGAAGACCCAGTGGTGGGTAGGTCTGGGTCCCATTTCCCTATTTATTCCCAAACCAGACGCCCTTTTTCCTTCTCAGGGCCCCTAACCAGACTCTTTCTTACATCCCAGTCCATCAAGGAATGTCAGAAAGAAAACCCCAGAAGGCCTGAGTTTGGAGGTGAGTGCCTGGACAGGGAAGACGAGTTCTTCCTTGGTGGGAAGTGCCCAACTCACGTCCTGGAAGAGGCTGACTGGGGCAGTGACGGCTTTCTGCTCTGCCAGGTAGGTCTCCCATGACCAGCCTTCTTTCTTCTCGCCTGATGCTGTGAAGAGGAGACAGACAGGTGACACTTGGCCTGCTCCTGATGTACAAGTTTCCCCTGACCAAACTCCAAGCCATCTCTCTTCTATGGTCACACATGCCCTCTGATGCCACACAACTGTAACAGTGCCAAGCTACCACATTCTGCCCAGTCCTCCCTCCCTTCAGGGTCATCAGAAGTACTTTGGATTACACAGCAACCTAGTTAAAAAGTCTTGGCCACAGAGCGATATGTCATCCTCTGATATGTAACAAGGACAAAGATGAGTAACGAGACCTGAGCCAGAGAACTTAATCACAGTGCTACTTTACCTCATGAAGGAAGAAGAAAAGGGGGGCTGGGGATTTAGCTCAGCGGCATAAGCGCCTGCCTTGCAAGCAGGCAGTCGTGAGTTTGATCCCCGGTACCGATAAAAAAGAAAAAGACAAAAAAAGAAAAAAGAAAAAAAAAAGAAAGAAGAAAAGGAGAAATGAGAGGGAAAACATAGGAGGAAAAAGCATCTGTCCTGCAACTACTAAAATTCTTGTCACTCTAGAAAAACTTGAGGTCACAACTGCCTGACCCAGTTGGACCAAAGTTTCATTAAGCCGTCACGCTTTCTCTGAGCTTTATGCCAGAGCTCAGTTTATGCCAATGCTTCAATGTAGGGCGCATCTCTTCAAATTACCATTTGTCCTAAGTGAGACCCAGATTGTTCCTTAAAACACATCATCTACTATGATATGTTCCTGAAAAACCTTCTAGGTCTGCACTGGGTTTCATTCATACTTACACATGAGGAGGAAGAGGAGGAGGAGGAGGAGGAGGAGGAAGAGGAGGAGGAGGAGGAGGAGGAGGAGGAGGAGGAGGAGGAGGAGGAGGAGGAGGAGGAGGAGGAGGAGAAAGAAACCTCTGAATGCCAGGCTTAGCATGATCTGTCTTGCTGTTTCTGCCTTGTTATCATCCTGCCTAATACCGCTTTACTTAATCCAAATCACCACTGCTATGGCCAAGCCCTTCACACTGCTCATTCCTTCCTTCCGAGATAACATTCTGCTTTTTGCCTATTCCTTGGAGACTGTAAATGTCAGAATTCTCATCTCAAGCACCTCTGTGTCACTCCTGGGGACTTCAGTTCTGTCTTACTCCTGAGGACTTCAGTTCCCTTTAGCCATCCTGCAATGCAGCTAAATCCTAAGAACCCCACATTGCGCAGGTACCTCTGACCAGCTCTCTGACCAGCAGGTACTCTCTCTAGCTGTTCTCTCTTACACTAGTGCCCCTCGATTGGCTCTGCCACTTTCCAGCCTCAGCCTGTGCTAACTCAGCACTCTCACTAAACACAATAAAGTCTGCAGTCTTCGCAGTTTCCTATCACACACCACTTTGTTTTACTTTAACCACTGCTTATGTCAGTTAGTGGAGTCACCTAGGTGCCATGTCTGACACCTGTGTGCCAGAAACCGGGGATGGAGATGCTTCAGAGACTTCATTTATCATCTCCTTTAAGTCTTCTAATGCCTTAAGACAAATGATCTCCTTCACAGATAGAAGAGATTAAATATCATCCATTTGAAAGAGGACTGACCACTGGCCCTTTGGGTAATAACTGGAATCCTTCTCTAGCTGAGTCCCTGGCTTCCTCCATCTTCTTTTCCATTGGGGAACAATGCACTAAGCCTTAGACACATCCCTTAACTCATGGAAGTCCTAACCTCCTGTGTGTGACTGGGCAATGTACACTGGTATCCGGGAATGGGGGTGAGAAGGCTGAAGTCCAGCGTGGGCTTCTTGTCAAGCCGCGTGGTTGAGTCTACAGTGAGGAAAGATGACCTTTGCTAATTGGTCTGCTCAGAAGAGGCACTTTCGTAAGACTTATACAAAGGCGCCATACAAGTTAGCTGTCACAGATGCTCCCTTAACTCCTAGAAATGCTCCTCTGCTTATCCTTGCTTCCTTAGGCAAGATGCTCCTGGCTAACACACTGGCAAGCTTGGCCTGACTATACCAAACTTGTAATTCCTTTGTGGAAGCTCTGACCCTTTTGGTGTTGTATACCCTAGGTGATGATCCAGCATCCATCCTTCCAGTCACACAAGCCAGGAACTTGGAAATGATCTTTCCAAGGACCCTTTAGTCCTGCTGCTTCTGGCTTTTAGGTCTCTCTTAACTCTATTCTCACCTCTCCATGTTCACTGCCTTTGTTTTGAACCTAGTGTCTTAATTGATCCCTGTGCTTCAGACTTAAATTCCACAACAGCTGCTCATTTACAACTGAAAAACAAAACAAAACAAAACAAAACACCTTTCCACAGCACACAAAGCCCTCAGTAAACCAACTGCTTCAGCTTCATCGGGCATGTCCATGCCTTTATGCTTCTGTGCCTTTGCACAGGCTGATCCCTCTTCTTCAAAGCCACTCCTCCTCTCCCATACCATTCTCCTGTTTTTTTCTCACGCTTCAAGACTCAGTATAGCTACAGCACCCATCTCAGGGCTTTATACATAAAAGGGGCTCAACAAATGTTTGTTACATGAGTAGAAGAAGCCTCATATGGTGGTACACACCTGTAATCTCAACTTCTTGGGCGACTGAGTAGAAGGGTCACAATAATTTAGCAAGACCCTCTCTTAAAATAAAACAAAAAACAAGGGATGGGATACAGTTCAATGTGTGCCTAGTATGAACAAAGCCCTGGGTTCGATCCCTAGTACCTCTAAAAAAAGACTAGAAGGATGGATAAAATGTCACTCACCCTATCCCATGGAGCCTTCTTTGACTCCATGAAGCAGAGCCTGTTTTGTGACAGTCCTTTGTATTTACATACTTGAAACACAACTCCTATTATACTGTTATGCTATAAATTACCCATTTATATTACTATCTCTGCAACTAGACTGTGACCTCCTTAAGTGCTGGGATTGAGTTCCGCTTACTCTGAACTTTTAGCATCTAGCTCAGTGCTAAGATACAGTAGATACTGTCTATAGGAAAGAAATAAAATGTAAAGAGACAAACAGGATGCCAAAGTTCAAGAACAATCAATTGCATGCAGTCATTAGGGTACTACCACGTGCTGGGTCTTTTATTTTAAACTTGATACAGATATTTCTTTGTATTTACCCTCCTCTTGTGAAGCATGGTTAGCCAGCTCATAATAAGTTCATTTTAAAACACTGTAAGTGGATTGAGGGTACAGTTCAGTGGTAGAACATGAGCTTAGCATAGCATGTGTAAGGCCCTGAGTTCAGTTCCCAGCATCAAAGGAACAAAAAGACCCTCAAAATTTAGGTAGGTGTGACGGTGCATGCCTGTAATCCCAGCACTCAGGAGGCTGAGGCTAGAAGACTACAAAGAATTCGAGGCCAGCCTGGGCTACAAAGTGAGTTCAAGTTCAGCATGAATTATATAGCCAGACCATCTCAAAAAACAAAACAAAACAAAACAAAACTGACAGTTTAACCAAGATCCTGATGCTTGTGTTTCATGGTTTCACATGTGCCTCCTATGAACCAGTGCTTGAGAACAGTAAACTCAAAGAAGCAGGGCCTTGTAATGCTGTGGTCTATTTTTTCCTGCTGACAACCATGAAAGTTGCCTTCAGTTTCTAGGAAGCAGGAATAGACCCTGTGAGACTCGGGCTAAAATTTAATTGCCATTGTGACTTTATTAAGTGGGACTCTGAAGAGCTGACTAGATCATGAGGGCTGGTCCCTGAGAAACAGGAGGTTTGGTTTGATTTTCCCCTGCGCGCTCACTTGCCCTTCCACCATGAGACGACACAGCACAGAAACCATGCTCTTAGCCTTCCCAGATTCTGGGACAGGAAGCCACATAAACTTCTATTGCTTATAAATGAACGAGTCCGCGGCATTCTGTATAGCAACCATGAATGGACTAAGAAAACTGCTGTCAAAAAGTAGGGCTGTTGCTATAATAAATATCTGAAAATGTGAAAGCAGCTTTCAAACAAGGTATTTGGAAGAGTAGAAAAAGCCTAGATTGCCATAAATAGAGCTTTAAAGCAATTCTAGAGAGGGTTAAAAGGATAGGAGACCTATGAGGAAAATTTTATCTTTTTCTTTGGGTTGGGGGTGGAGTTGAGACAGAGTCTCACCATGTATTACTGCCAAGTTGGCCTTGAACTCATGGGTGTCCTCCTGCCTCAGCCTCCTGAGTGCTGAGATTACAGACCTGTGTATCACCATACCCAGCCCGGGAAAATCTGAATCTTATTAGAGATTACATAATTGGATGTAATCAGACTGTTGGTAGAGATCTGGATAACAAGGCCGGGGATGTGGCTCTAGGGTAGTATACACACCAACCTCTGGGTTCAGCTGAGAGAGAGAGAAAGAGGAAGGGGCAGGGAGAATTTAAGAGACAATTTAAGAGATGAAGGATACATAGTGCAAGGAATATCTAAGCAGCAAAGTACTTAGGCTGCTTGGCTACTTTTAACTACACAGAAAGATCTTAGAGCAAAAACTGGCTTAATGATAAAGTCTATATCTACAAGAGCAAAAAGGAAAGATTTGAAAAGTCACAGCTTGACTGTGAAAGAGATAAAAGGTACATTTAGGAGACCAAACCAAGGATGTGGACAAGCAACTGTTTGCTAAGAGATTAATACAGACAGAAGGAAGCCAGTGTTTATTCAAGACACAAGAAAGTCAGGCATGGCGATGCATTCCGGTAATCCCACCACTCTGAGGTAGGAGGATCACAAGTTCAAGCCTAGCCGGGGAAACTTAGCAGTTTAGCAAGACTCTATCTCAAGAAACTTAGCAAGACTCTATCTAAAGAAAGTAAAGTAAAGCAAAGCAGAGCAGAGCAGAGCAGAGCAGCTTAATGTAGCTCAACGTGAAGACCCTGAGTTCAATCTTTAGTACTGGAAAAAAGATCTAGGAGAAAGACTCCAACAAGCAGATTAAAAGATGATCAATACATCACTAGCCATCAGGAAAATATAAATAAAACCCACAATTAAATACCATTTCATTCTTGCTGCAAGGCTACAATTAAAAAGACACGTGGTAATAAGTGTCAGTGAGGATGCAGATAAATTAGAATCCTCAGATACTGTTGGTGGGAAAGTAAAATGGTGCAGGCACTTTGAAAAGTGGTCAGGTAGTTCCTCAAAATGTTCAACATAGAGTTACCATAAGAACACACAACTCTGCTCCTAGGTACAATTCCAAGAAAGTATAAACATATATCCACACAAAAACTTGTATACAGAGCCAGGGATATAGCTCAGAGGCACAAGCACCTGCCTGGCAAGTGCAAGGTTCAGAGTTTGATTCCTGGTAAAAAACAAACAAGCAAACAAAGAAACAAAAACCTTATACACAAATGTTCTTATTAGTTAGCATTATTCACAATAGCCCAGAAGTAGAAGCAACCTATGTGCCTATTAATGAATAAACTGTAGTACATCCATATAATGGAATGTGCTTCAATAATAAAAAGGAATAAGGTATTGATGCATGTTAAAACGTGGTTAAACCTCAAAAATACTGTGATTGAAGTCACTCACAAAGAACCTCATAAAATCAACATAAAATGTCCAAAATAGGCTCTGTATAAAAAGCAGATTGGTGGCTGCCAAGGGGTAGAGGGAGCCCAAGGGAAGGGTGCTAATGGTTAGGGGTCATTCTTGTGGGTGATACAAAATGTTTTAAAAATGGTTGTGGTGAGAATTACACAACTCTGAATATAATAAATAGTTATATATTTCAAATGGGTGAATTGTATGTTACATGTGAATTATAGCTCAAGAAAGCTATTAAAAACCTCATTAAAATGTAGACATAATGATCTAACCACAGGGAGCAGGGAGGCTCAGTGGCCTGGGAGCTGCCTCACAAGCAAGAAGTCCTGAGTTCAATTCCTGGTATTTAAAAAAAAAACCTGATAAAAACCTGATAGGGCAACCCACTCGGAACCCCTGCTGCTTTTCTCTCAGACAGAAGCTTTCTTTCTCTCAGTTAATTCTCTCTCAATCAATATTCTGATCTTAACCTCCGTTGCTCCTAAAAGTCATTTTTTGTCTAGAGATAAAACCCTGATAAACTGGACATCATCAAACTAAAGACCTTTTGCTCCTCAAAAGTCATGATTTAGGAAAAAAAAAAGCAAGATACAGACTGGGAGAAAATAATTTGTAAACAGAAAGAGCTGTGTTCACAATATGTAAAGAATTAATAGGAAAAAGATAAAAATTTGAGTTTTACACAGTATTTTTGAGGTTTTGCTAAAGTAACTATAAGGGAACAAAATAGGAGGCAGTGAATCTGGGAAGGCAGTGATGAGCCCATCCCAAATGGTGCCACCACAGATGCTTCATCTGGACGTGGGCAGAACAAAAGATGACAGAATATCAACGGATGTTCATAAGGTCAGAATAACTATTCATGACTAAACAAGTTGCAAAGACTTTTGTAATATTGCGGCAGAGATTATTCATACAAAACAGCAGTTAGAAAGATGAAGAAATCTGTGTATGGTGGCACATGCCTGTAATCCCAGTGCATGTGAGAGGCTGAGGCAGGAGAATCCCTGTGAGTTCAGTGCCAGCCTGGGGTACAGAGTGAATTCAAGACCAGTGTGAACTATAGTCATAGCCAGATCTTGTTTCAAAAAAAAAAAAAAAAGTTGAAGAAAACATAGGTCCAAGATGTATGTGAGTCCCATGTTCCTAACTTGTAAATCATTGAAGCACTCCACCAGCCCCAGATATTCTTCTCTGTACAACAGAAATCCAATGGCTGGTCATCAGATTGCCAAGAAGTGCAGGTAACACACATGCTACATACATACACACACATGTGCATGCATGTGCACGCATGTGAGCACAAGATACTCAGGCAAACCTGTTGTCTCCATCTCTGCCCTCAGATTCTTCTTTGAGAAGATCCGACCAATAAGTGGAAAACATTTTAGTCATGAATGCTAACCTCTGTCTACTAATAGAGTGTCTTTTCTTGAAAAAAGAAAAAGAAAAGGTATGGGAAAATCCTCAGAAACCAATGTTACACTCATGTTCAAGTTGAGGTCAGGATGATGAATGGCATGAATAAAAGATAATGTTAGGGCTAGGGATTTAGTTCAGTGGCATAAGCATCTGCCTGACAAGCGCAAGGTCATTAGTTCAATTCTTGGTACCAAAAAAATAAAAAAAAAGATAATGTTGCAGCACGGAGCGTAGCTCACTAGTAGAGCTCTTGTCTGTAGACATGAAACCTTAGGTTCAGTTTCCAGTAAGTGTTAAGAAAAAGGTACCTAACTCTCTACTGGTCAACATAGCCCAGCTAAAATAACACTGACTTCTGAATTTATTTCCCTACATAAGATAGAGAAGCTGGGCCGACAGTAGGAAGATACAATCTTTTTCCTCTGTGTAAGTATTATAAGTCTATAAACCCAAGAGGGCTAAGTCTTTGAATTCTTGATGTGACTGTTCCTGGGTAAGACACACAGTGGAAATTTGATTTGGCTGTGTTGGGTAGAATCTGGAAGAGGTGTTATGGACACAGGTTGGGCATCTCCCACTTGGTATTGGGTCCAGTAAAGTAGAGAGATATCCTAAGAACCCTTCTGATTCTTTGGGATGCAAAAGACAGTGATTCGTGTAATTGACCCATAGTCCATGAGAAATCATCAACATACAAATCATCCATTTATCTATTGAACAAACACTCATTGAGAAACTACTCCACAGCAGGCTCTAGGATAAGCATCTGTGATACAGTGATTAATAAGACAAATTCAGTTCTTGTGTTAATTCAGTTATTGTGCTAAGCCTTGAGGGGCAAAGACAGACATTAAACAAATTGCCACATAGCATCTAGGTCACTCCAATGTAATAAATGCTACTCAATGTGACAAATGCTGTTCCTGTTGATAGCTGTCATCTCGGGGGGGGGGGCGATAGTGGTAACAAAGAAGGGTACAGGACTAAAGCTGAGTATGAATGACTTCTGTTTGATTTTTCTTGAACTGAAAGGATCAGAATTGTTGCCCAACTGCAAGGTCAGACCAATGACAAGTGTGAGTTTGCCTATATCACTGAAACAAAGCAATGCCATGTGTGATGTCAAATTTGCTCATATCTTTAGGTACTGAGCCAAGACTTCCCTGGCAGAAGAGCCTATACACAATCAAATAATAAAAGGGAAATATACAACATAACACCAAAGAACACACATAAAATACACAAGCCAGATTCTCACTGTTTCTCCTTCACATACACCACCCATGGTCACTGATATATGGAAAACCTACCAACACAACCATGACCCACACTCCTAGCCTCACACCTCCAAAGACAGACACACACATTACACACAATTATATATACACCATACCAGGCTGGCTGCTGCTCCACTCCTCACTCTCTGGAGTGCTGGCGCTGGGCTGTCCCTCCGGATCCTTTCCTCCTTCTTGCTTCTCCTATGGAAGGAAAGCCTGATCTCAGCTACTGTCCTTAGGGTAAAGGCCCAGACTCTGACTTGAGCCCATGCCTGGCTCTTTGGATATGTGTATTCTGCCCCCAGAAGGTAGAATTTCTCATAGGTCACTAGCAGGAATATAGCTCCAGCAGAGTCTGTTACCCACTTGGACACATACTCATGTGAGCATATATACTGCCCAAGTGGGTAATAGAATGACTATTACAATTCCCCTTCTTCCCAGGGGGCCAAGTGAGCACAGGGGGACCTGCTCTGTGCTGATTGTACCTGCCTACTCGAATCTCTATGATCTGTCTCTTTGCATCTCTGCCCAAGAGATCTGTGCTTCCTGGACTGCAGTGATGGGAGTTTTCCACCTTTCACAAAGTCACTTTGGGTGAAATTCACATGAGTCTGTCTAAATCCTGACACTGGACTGAAACTGGAGATCTAGAAAATCAGGAGTGATTTATTTATTTCCCTCCAATCAGATAGACTCGACTTGAGATGGGACTTGAAAATATGAGTAAGTTATTATGAGTGTCTTCTCTGGCCCAGTCCTATGTCTTGGATACATAAGAAAATAGTGAGAATTGAGGTACTTGCTCTAGTCTTCCCCTTCCCTCCCCACTACCCTCCCCTACCTCAGCCTCTGGCTCTGACTCCTCTGATGGGCTCTGGTATTCCCTGTGCTTCCTCTTCTTCATGGGTTTGAGGAGCTCAGATGCGCTGGTGCAGCCTGAGGAGTTCTCTACTATGACAGACCTGGGGGAGGAGCAGCCTTAGCCATTCGGCCAACCCCTTTCTAAACCCTGAACAGGGACAGTGCAAGGGAGGCTGTGAATCCTTCAGCTTACCGCGCCTGGAACAGAGGAGGGCAGGCATCACTGGACGAACCAAGATCTGGACCAGCGCTTTGCTGAGGTCCGCAGGCCTGGCACCGACAGGTGCTGTCATCCTCTGGGGGATCCTGAGAGGGGTCTTCAGGAGGGTCCTGGGGGAGGCCCTCTGTGGGGGCCGACTTGGCCTCAGGCCACCCCTTCAGGCGCTGCCTCCACCCTGGTTCCAAGTGCACACTGGATAGCTCTCAGCCTCTCACTATGGACCACCCCCGGTTGCACTTGTGGAAACTGCCTCGGGTCACACCCCCACCACGGCCAAGTCTCCTCGGATTGCGCAGGCCTCGCCCCACCTTTGTGGTGCTTTGGCTCGGAGCCCGGGGAGCAGGTTCCTACCGGGCTGATGGGTGTCCACATGACCACCTTCCGACGTGGCCCCGCCAGCTTTGCATTCGGCCATGCCTTCCTGCTGCCGCTTGGGGCTCGGTGGTTGCTCTATTCCCACCATATTCAGCGGCGCATATTCGCTTATCCGGAACTGGAGCGTGGGAGAGTTTGAAGACAGCCGCGCCTGTACCAGCCCTAGCCCCACCTCAGGAACTGTAACCCTGCTTCTTGTCAACTCAGCCTCAGCTGGCCTCGAGACTCCGCCCCTGCCTCACCATAAGCCACGCCTCAAACCTGCATGCCCAATCCCAGGCTGCCTCTCCCTAAACCACGCCCCACACACCCTCCCAGGATCTATTGCATCTGCCAGCCTCCCACTTTCTGTCTCAGGCTCCGCCTTTGCCCAGCCCACAGCCCCTGCCCCACAGGTGCAGCTCAAGAGGTCCAGTCAAACCCCACAGGCACTGACCCGCAGACCACTGCCAGGGGGCGGAGCTGCAGTCTCTGTCCACTCCAGAAGTCTCACTGTGCCGGCGCTAGAGCTGGCTGCTGGCCCAGCACTTAGCTGTGGCAGAACTGTGGCTGTGACTGGCTCGTTGCTGGCTACCCTCTCCAGGGCGCCTACATGGATTGGCTCTCGCGGAAAGCAGGACATATCTAGGGCACTGCTGGGCAGGCTAAGGGTGGCTGAGCTGGCTGTGAACAGGTACACAGATAGACATAGCACAGGTGAGCCTGGTGGTCCTCCATCAATCCTGCCTTGCATGTATAGGAAGGTGAACGAAGGTAGGTGTAGAAAGGTGAAAAGTGCCACCCAGACCTCAGACCCACAAGGTCTGCTATGGCTAGTATGGGAATGCCTCCCTCCCCAGACACATGGCTTAACCTACCCGGAATGATGAAGGCAGCTGCTGGCAAGTGAGGACCAGAACCTGGGCTGTCTCTGGTCACCAGGTGCACACTGACCTCCCCTGTAGAAGGCCCCTTCATTGTCCTCAGCATCTCCATTTCAGTACGACTCTCCATTCTGAAAGGCCTACAAGCCAAACACAGCCCCATGACAATCAGGAGATTTTTTCCCCCCAGTAATGGGGATTGAATCAGGCCTTTAACTATGCTCAGCAAACACTCTATCACTGAGTTACACCTCTAGTCCCTTAAATTTATTTTTTTAATTTTGAAAGAGGGTCTTGCTAAGTTCCTGAGCGTGGCTTCAAGCTTTTGATTTTCTACTCAGCCACCTGAGTAGCTGGGACTATAGGTGCCACTTTGGCAAGGAGGGGGCCTCTGCTACAAAGCAATAAGATGGAAAGGAAATGGGGTTCTCAGAGAAGCTGGCTGTCTTCAAGCCAGCAACTTGCAAAGAAAGGTTTTCGCCTTGAGGGCAGTAGGGTGTCTTAGGAAATCAGCACCAGGTCTGGCTCCTTGGGTCCACTGGGGTCACTGTGGTGGCTCTGGCAAGGCCCTACACCTCCCGCAGTCTTTGTGAGGGTACTATACAAATTTTGTGCACAAACTCCAAAGAATGCCAGGGTCCAGGCTCAGTTCAGCTGGTAGCCTTATGACAGCCTGGGGCAAGTCCAGGCTCACTGCTTTCTGGATCCCATCTTCCTCCCCACTAGAAACACTCCCTTCTTCCTTTGATCCTTCAATGTGCCAGGATCTACTTCACCCAAACAGGGTTCATCTTCCTGGGAGGTGGGGTATGTCCTGATCATGCTCTTTTGTATGTGCAACCAGCACTCCCTCCAACTCAAGTACAGACTAGACTCTGAAATATCTGTTGAACAAATGCATGCATCAAAGAGCAAAGAGGTAGTGCATGGAAACTTAGTCAGTGCACAATTCTCTTTTAATAAAGCAAAGCTACAGAGGCATTTAATAAAGAGTCAGTTGAGCATAAAAAAGACCTAGTGATGCAACAAATATACTTAATAGCCAGAATTTACTCAACTCTTAAAACATGTTGGCCACTGTCCCAGATGCCTCACTGGCACTATCCAATAGAACTTTCTGTGATGGTGAAAATGTCCTATGTCTAAGCAGTCTACCACAGTTGTTATTAGCCACATGTGGCTACTAAGTACATGAAGTGTGGTTCACATAATTGAGAAGCTGAATTTTAACTTTAAAATAAATTTAAATAGCAAGAGGAGCTATGGCTAATGTATTGAATAGCACAGCTTTATATATATATATTGTAATTGGCTCGAGGATGCTACCGCAAAACACATTTCAACATCTGACTGCTTTTTCCCATCCCTAGCCCCAACCATCATCCATTCAGTCTCTTTGGACTTCTAAACTTGCTTTCCAATTCACCTCCCTGGTGCTCTGCTGCTCAAACAGTCTATTCTGCAGTAATAAAAAGCTTTAAAAATATAAACCAGAAGCTCTACAATGTGGTGCATGCCTGTAATCTCAGCTACTTGGGAGGCTGAGGCAGGTAGGTGACTTGAATATAGGAGTTTGAGAGCCTAAACAACACAGTGAGATCGTCTCAACAAATAAATAAATAAGCTCAGATCACATCATTTCCCTAAGATCAGTATCCAATCTGACCGCATCCTTTATTAGGCTTCCTGTGTTCTCTATATTGAACAGACTCCATTTCAATTTCCTTTTATTGCTTCACCAATGTTCCCACCTCAGAGCCTTTGCCACTGCTGTTCTCTCTACCTAGAATGCTCTTCCTTAAATTCTCTACTTGGCTGGCTCATTCTTGTACTGTAAGTTTCGGGTCAGATTTGCCTACTACCTTTAGAGCTTTCGTTTGCTTTTAGTGGTACTGGGGATTGAATGCAGGACCTTTACACTGCATTCCAGCCCCCTCTCTTTTAAATTGTGAGGCAGGGTCTTGACACATAGCCCAGGTGGGATTGGAACTTTTGATCCTCCTGCCTCAGCCCAGCTTAGAGGTCATGTCTTATCTTTTTTTCTTTTTTGAAACTGAGGATTAAACCTCAGGCCTTCACACTGAGCTACATCCCCAGCCCTTTTTAAAATTTTAAATTTTGATACGGGGGTCTTATTACATTGCCCATGTGGAACTTGAATTTATGATGCTTGTGCCTCAGTTTCCCCAAGTACTAAGATTATAGGCACATGACATCACATCTGGTTTTAGAGGTCCTTCTTTTCTTTCTTAGAGGTCTTTTTTGATCACATAAAGTAGCACACCTCTCATTGGATTCCACCACTGTATATCACTAACTGTATTTGCATCTGTCAAATTCATCATTAGAATCAGTACTGATCTTGTATTTCTGTGTTTGATCAGTCATCACTACATAAATGCAAAACTCTCATCTCTCTTGTTTTGAGGCAAGGTCTGGTTACACAGTTCAGGTTGGTCCTACAACTTGCTATGTAGCCTATCATTTCGCTTAGCCTACCAAGTGCTGGGAATTACAGATGTGTGCTCGCTGACCTTATCTGTCTTATACAATGATATATCTCCAGTACTTAGAATAGCAACTGGCACACATTACGTACTCAATAAATACTTGTGTCAATCTCCAGCAACAAACACACACGCGCGCACACACACACACACACACACGCACAGTATTTTTGTTGTATTTCAGTAATTGGAATTTATTAATAAAAACATTCTTAGAAGGGTTGGGGATGTAGTCAATAGTAAGTACCATTGTTTAGTATGTACAAGGCCTTGAGTTCAATCTCCAGCACCAAAGAAGAAAAACAAAACACTGTGGACTGATTCCTACTGATTGCCTGTTAGCGGTATTTGGCAATGGCTTCTGACACACCTTAAAGGAAAGGACATGGGCATCAACCCAAGACAGACTCGAATCCCAGCTCCCCCACCTAACACTTGTGACTCAAATGAGCAGCTTACCTACCTCTCTGAGACAGCGTCTTCATGTGTAACAGGAAGGTGGTAATGATACCTATCTCAAAGGCTTTGATGAAGCTTAGATGTGAAAAAGAGATGAAAATGTCTCTACCATCATGTTTTACACCAATACCAACCCACTCTCGCTAAAGAGAAATTCCAGGGAGTGTGGTAGCTCTGGCAGTACAGTAATGTGGAAGCTCCTGGTTTATGAAATCAGTTTGTGATGGTTGCTGTCTCCTGCTTTTCCTCACTCCTTCTGTTCTTGTATATTCATCTATTTTCCAGATTTTCTCTCTAAAATGCAAAATCCACTTTCTGTAGTATTGATATATATTATACTAGAGATATAAACAGATGTATAACCAGGTAGGATAAAGTCTAGGTATAAAAGGTTAACATTCAAACCAAGATGAATTTTCTAATCTTTAAGAATAAAACAGAAACCGGGCGTGGTGGCTCATGCCTGTAATCCCACCACTTGGGAAACTGAGGTGGGAAGATGGTTTCGAGTTCAAGACCAGTCCAGGCTACAAAGTGAGCTCAAGGCCAGCCTGAACTGCATAGTGCGACCAGACTCAAAAAAGACAAAAAAAAAAAAAAAAACCAGAACCTCCTGAATTTTAACTTTAATTATTTTTCTATACACAGAAATAACGTACCATTATTAAAATAAACAGAATTAATCATTTTATTCAAAGCACTGGCAGCATTAAGAAGGAATGAGAGTGGGCTGGGGCAGTGCATACCTGTAATCCCAGCTACTTGGGAGGCTGAGGTGAAGGATCCCAAGTACGAGGTCAGCTTGGACAATTTAGGGAGACTGTCTCAAAAAAAACCCAAAACAAAACAAGTGTGGGAAGCTAGCCTGTTAGTACACTCCAGAGTTCACTACCTAGTGGGGAAAGGAAAAAAAAAAAAAAAAGAGTGACTGGGAGAACAGCCTTTCTGTTCAAGTTTGCTGCCTGTTATTTGTTTTGCAAACACTGGAGAATCCGTTCGGTGTCAGCAGTATTCTGTGTTCTTGGAGGCAGGGAAAGCAAGACGGAGGGCTCTCTTACACTCTCGACATAACAGATAAGGTTGGGCTACAGATATGAATTTGACAGTCTTCTTGTGTAGATGCCATTGAAAACTGAGACAGAGTAAAAGAGGAAAAAGGTGGGGTCCCTTGGGGCTCACTACTACTTACAGGTTGGGAAGAGGATGGGACCCAGTGACAAGACAGAAGAGCTGTGCTGAGGTGAGAGGGGACCCCAAAGAGGGGGCTACAGCCTTTGATTTCCAGATTCTCTTGGAATCACCTTCCACCAAGAGAGCTGCCTCACTCCCATACAGACACGTGAGTATAAAAGTCTGGTCCCTTTTATCTGGGATTTTTTTCTTTTTTTGGTAGGGGGTGTCTCTCAGTTCCAGAGCTTCCCTTGGGACAGGCTGAGGTTCCTCTTGAGACTACACCAGTATTTTAGTATCTCTGCCCAATCCTACTGTCTTCACAAGGATGGATGTTCCGATAAACCTAATCTCAGCGTTCCCAGGAAACCAAATTTAACAATGATTAACTTACCCCCAGCCAAAAGCAGTGCACATAACAGCTGCTCAATAAATAGTTACTAAATGAATGCAGCCAAACTGGTTGCCATCTGCCAAGAGTGCTATCTGCCAAGGCTCCCCATCCCCCACCCTCCACCCCTTGCCCTTCAAGGCCTTGTATACAACTGACGCCAAATAAACGCCCTGGCTCTAGCGGCTGAGGATGTGGAGCTAGTGCCAGAGACGGATACGGTGGCGGCAACACACAGCGCCTGCAAACTCCCGGCCCTGGCGCCGCCCCCTGGCCGCACCTGCTGCGGGATCGCCAGACGCGGGACGCGTGGCCGCGCCCGAGCCGGCCCCGCACCCGAAGGCGCCCCCTGCCACCCGGGACTAATAGACGGCGGAGGGCGGGGCGGCCACTGATCCGCGGGCTCTGCAGAGCTGTTACTTTTTTAAACGCCAAAATGGCGGAATTATTTTTCTTTCCCTTTATACCCTAAATAAATAAATAAATTTTAAAAATACAAAAAAATCCCATTTCCGTTATCAAAAATTAATGACAGGAAAGTTTGCCAAATGGCCCATTTCCTAAGAAAACCAAAACCTCGTCCGCCACCGCCCTCCCTTCCCTGAGTGAAAAACTCTTGATTGCATTTCTCCAAATCCGACGACGCCTCCGCCCTGCCGCGCCCCGATCCAGGCCGGACCCCGCGCCCCGCGGCCGCCCGCCCAGACCTCGCATTGGGGTCGCGGCAGCCATCTCCCCAGCCGGCCCTGCTCGGGCGCCCGGAAGGACCGCAGAGCCCAGCGCTCGCCGAGCGGGTTGGGCCGGAGCGCGGCGTCCCGGGACCGCGGGGCGCAGCCCGCCCGCCCGCCGCGCGAGCCTCACCTGCAAGGCCCGCCAGCGGCCGCCCAGCGCCGAGCTGCGGTCTGAGGCGGGCGCGGCGCGCGCCTGCGCGCACAGGGGGGCGGGTCCGCCTCCCCGCAGGACGCAGAGCTCGGATCTGCTGCGCCCCCAGGACCCCGGCGTTCCACGGCGCGGACGTCTCCTGGCCTTCTTTCGAGGCTCTGGCAGTGCAGGGCTAATTGTACCTTCTTCCTGAGACGGGGTTGCTGCTCAGGGTTGAGATCTTTCTGGCCTCCCGCTCCTACATCATTTCAAAGGCGCACAGGGTGGCGCTGAGACCATGGAGCCAAAAAGAGAGAGAGACCGTGCATTTGCCAAGCTCCTGAACTGGGTGGTGGGTGACACGCGACAGAGCTGTACCCTGCAACGCACCCCTGTCGGTGGCTGTCCCTGTGATTTCCCATCATACCTGCCGTCCACCTGCAGAAGGGGTGTCAAGAAGCATCAGAAAACTGCCCCAGGAAGAGCAACGGACCTCTGCAACTAGAGGAAAGAAAACCCCTGGGTTCTGACCCTGTCTCTCCTGGCTTGAGGGACATCAGCAGCGTGTTTTGGTGACTCCACGGATACTATCTTATGACATGACCTAGGGAACATCCCTCGATTCTCTTTATTTATTTATTTATTTATTTTGGTCTTTTTCCTTTTTATTGAACTCACGACTGCCTGCTTGCAAGGCAAGTGCTTATGCCGCTGAGCTAAATCCCCAGCCCTTCCCTCAATTCTCTTAGTCCTCCATTTCAACATTTGTGTAGGCTACTTTCTGGCTTATGGTGTTGATTCTAGCAAGTCATTGCTCCTCTGTGCTTATTTCCTTTGCTGATTCCTGCCTCCGTCAGATCTCTCTGGCCAAACCTAGTTATTGGGTTTGTTTGTTTTAGAGACTCTTGCTCTGTATTTCAGACCAGTCTTGAACTGACAATGTAGTCCAGGCTGGTCTTGAACTCAAGTGTATCCCAGGCTGGCCTCAAACTCGTGGTGATTCCTCTATTTCAGCTTCCGCCTCAGTCACTCCAGTACAGGGTATGTGCTGCCACACCCAGCAGTTATGGATTCTTCTAACACAAAATATCTGTCTTTCTTACACATACCACACATATTTCACATTCAGATTTAAGTATTTCAAGAATATGAGACTGCATGCTTCAAGAGGGGAAGTTTTTGCATTCTTACCACCTAGCAAAGTGTTTACTCAGTAAATACCTTTTGATTGACTAATGAGGTACTTCAAGCAGATGAAACAGGGTTAACTCTTCAGAGTCCCATCCCCCACTCCCATACCAAATTTTAAATTTAGTTATTTTACAGAAAAAAAAAACTGGGGGCTGGGGATTTAGCTCAGCGGCCTAAGCGCCTGCCTTGCAAGCAAGTGGTCGTGAGTTCGATCCCTGGTACTGATAAAAATGAAAAAGACAAAAAACAAAAAAAACCCAAAAAAAACTGAAGTCCATTTGGCCACCAGTCAGATGAAAAAGAATTCCTAATTTTGGGTGAATTCTCAAAATTGCTGTAATCAACAGGTTTAAATTTATGCAAAATTTAACTATTCCTGTTGCCACGCCAACACATTACATGTGTTCTGCCTTGCTGCAGTGTCAATTTTTAATCGCGTCTTGTGTTCTTGAGAACAAGACTGCATCAGTTAAGGAAGCTGGTTGCCATAACAATGGATGCCTCTTCATACACGCCAGTACACACAAAACCATAACTTGGTTTTCTTTTATCTCTTCTTTTATCCCAGACTGTGCTTGTTCTGGATTCCAAATGGTTTATTTTAGGTATTTCAGAAGATTAAAGAGAAGCAGTGAACCTACATAAACACAGGACTTCTCAATAGCAAATGAAACCTTGAAAGAGTGACTAAGTCAAGTGGAACGCAAGCAGGTTGTGATCCAGAACAAACATAGATTCAAGTTGCTCAGATTATTTTTCTACCTATTAACAATATTTGTTTGCTTCAACGTGTTCAGGGATGGAGTGCTCCTCCAAAAGTAATGTGTTTGAGGGAGGTTCTGCCTTATTCGCCCACTTTTCCCTGCTAGTCCCAGTCTACCTTAAGAGCTAGTGGACAAGTCCAGTCCTTCCCTCAAGTGAGAGCCCTACTATCTGAGCTCTATATAGTTGTGGCCCAACACTTGTTGGAAACTGTAAGCACTGAGGAAACTTGTTTGTAAGCAGCTCACACCTATTTCTGTAGGACAGTTAATCATTGGGGTGGTACAGTACATGGATTTTAGGAAAATCATCAGGACATGCCCTTTATGAGCTTCTAGTTTCACTGATGTTAGCAGAAAGCCCTTTCTAACACAAACTACTCAAAAGCCACCCAAAAATCTTTGATAATATTATAAGAAAGGACTCAAGCAAATATATAATGAAGATGTCTTTGTTACTTTTCTTGTTGCTGAGACCAAATATCCGATACCCAAAGTTAAAGGAGATTTATTTTGGCTCACAGTTGTAGAAGTTTCGGTCCATAGTTGGCTGGCTTCAGTGGCTGCAGATGGGCATAGCAGAAGAGAAACAATTCATGGCAGAGCAGGGAGGAGGCAGTAAGCCTGTTTTGTTTCATGCAGGCTACCAGTCTTTTGGGTAGCGCCATCCACATCCAGGAAGGGCTCCGTTATCCACACCCTTAATCCCAGTACCACACACCCTAATCCATTTTCACACACCCATAATCCAGTCACCTGCAAAAAGCCCCATTTATGAGCACGTGAGGCTTTTGGGAGCTATAAAAGAAGGAAAGTAAATTCACTGCTGAACATACATAATCTTCAGAAGTAAAAAACAGAGGAAATCAGGAGAAGCCTGATGTCTCCTGTTCTAGAGGTGGCAGTTTGGCTAGAGACAGCTGACCTGTTGGAAATTTGGTTTTATCACCTACACAATGACAGGAGATAGGATCTTAGGTCCACGTGGTATTAGGCTTTGGAATTGAAACTTACTATATGAAGACTGGACCCTTCTCTCATCAAACTATGTAGTCAGTGAAGCGAGTTCTAGAAAAACTCAGTGTAGCAGTCCTAACAGAAAAGAAGCTGGCAAATTTAATTGCCTAGGAGAGGGAGTAGGAGCAACCAACTGTGGAAAATCAAATCCTTAATACTGCTCTATGTGGACTGGATCTCTGGGTTTTTTGTTTGTTGGCAGGTTCTTACCATGTAGTTTAGACTGGTCTTAAACTCACTATGTAACCCAGGCTGGCCTCCAACTCACACTGATCTTCCTGTCTCAGCCTCTCAAGTGTTGGGATTACTGGTGTGCACCACCATGCCCAGCCCTTCTGTATGGGTTGGGATTCTAAATTTGTGCCACCCACCTGGTACATCTTTAAACTAGGAAAACAATGCAAAAATTGTGCCAGGATAAGCAACACACTTGCAAAAGTTAAAACAAGCAGATTCAGAGGCTGTTTGTTTTCTTTGTAAGAGTTTAAAGCAGAGGAACTTCATTTTCATGTCATCTAAAACTGGCCTATTTGGCTGTCATTATTCTCTCCTGCTTTCCTGGAAAGTAAGCTAAACAGTTTATTTTTGTGTTATAGAACTTTAGCATAACCCTATTTTGGTTTGTTGGGACATAATGCAAATGCTCAGTCTAAAACAATGGCCTGCCAAAATTTAACAAGTAACATTTAGTCGCTGCGGAAAGTAAAGCCCAGAATTTTAACTCTGAGCCCATTCTCAGACTGAAGAGGCTGCATTGCTTTGTTTGAGCTCAAGCTGGTAAAGCCAGGGAATCTGTGCTCTTTATTGTCTAGCTTAATGAAGCACAGGACACATGAGTAAAAGGACAGAGAAATCAAAGAAACAATGATGAGACAGCCACAACTCAGTATAACAGGACCTCTATAATTCAGGTTCTTTAAAATATGCACTACGGGGTTCCAGGAACTCAAGAGGAGATGAGCCAGTTTAACAGAATCAAGCATCAGATATAAGATGATGATGGTGGTTTATTTCAGCTCTGAGACTCTCTGATGCTGTGGCTGAAAGCCTTGTCCTCCCTTGTTACCTGGCATATGGTAAGAAACAAACAATAAAAATTAAGTACATTGAATCCTTCCCTCCTTTTAGCACACGGCTGGGCAAGTGCTCTACCACTGAGCTACACCCCCAGCCTACATTTTTTTCCTTTGAAAGAGAGAAGGTATGTGGGTGAGTAATAGAACCATCAAATGGAGACTTGGGATTGGGTAAGAAATGCTGTATATTGCTAGTGAAATCCTCCTCTATTCCCTCAACACTGAAATCTCATTGTGAGCTGGGTGAGGTAGAGCATGCCTGAGTACCAGAAAGTGGGGCTGAGGCAGAATTCCTTGTGTCCAGGAGTTGAAGAGCAACCTGGATAACATAGCAAGACCAACCAACCAACCAACCAACCAACCAACCGTGTTGTAAGTTAATGCTGGGAGACAGAGAATGTGATCTAGATTATCAGAACACTTGTTTTATTTTGTAGAATGATGTGTTGCCTGATTCACAAAATCTAGACCTTTAAACTACATTTGTTGTAATTTTGTCTTTTGACACTTATGAGCCATCAACTTGCTTTGCTTTGGCTCTGTCTGCCTCAGGCAATCTTCTGAGTTCATTTATCATGTACCTTCTCAGCTGTTTGAATGGGGCTGCTAGGAAGTTAGTTTCTAATCTCCCTTCTTCCTCCACTTCAGTTAAGGAACATAGTGGCACACATGTGTCTCTTTAGTCCCAGCACACTGGTGGGCAGAAAGATCAAAGTTCAAGCCTGGGCAATTCAGTGAGACTTTGTCTGAAAAAATAAAAGTTGGGAGGCCAGGTGTGTTGGTGTATGCCTGTAATCCCAGCAGTCAGGAGGCTGAGGCAGGAGGATTGCTGTGAGTTCAAGGCCAGCTGAGGCTACAAAGTGAGTTCAAGTCCAGCCTGAACTATGTGTGAAACCCTGTCTTAAAAAAG